AGCATGGGGGGAGGTGCTGGGCTTCATGAGAGTGCAGCTGCTGGAGCCCAGCCCTGAAGGAGAAAGTAGGGTTACCCTGGGTACTGGGGGCAAAGGCAAAGGAAGCACAGGCAGCTGGGCTTGCAGTTGGTCCTCCCTCTCATATCCCTCTCCCTCCCGGCTCCACTTTCTCCCTCTTATTGTCCCCCCTCCTCATTACCTCCTTCACTGCTCCCCCATCCTCACAGCGATGTTGTACCCGCAGCCTCACAGGAGTGGCCCACAGTGCCCTGGACCACACCACAGTGCTGGCGTCTCTGTTGCAGACCTTCCTCTCATAGATCATCATGCTGAGGCCAACCCCTTTTGTCTTTATAACATTTGAGTGGCCAGTTTGGGATGGGAATGTGACTGCCACCTGGGGGATTTGACCCTGGTGGGGAAGAGGGAAGATGATTTTGAAAGTACTGAAATGGGTGCCTCTGGGTATGAGCCAGCACATCCAGTGAGAGGAACATGGAAAGGCTTCTGTTTTTGAGGATCCCTTAACGAATAGCATTTTAGTCCCAAATGGGCTATAGAAACCACGGCCAAACAGCACGTGTTCCTGGATGTGAACAGCCAGCCCACCTGAGAGAAATCTCCGTCAGTCAGAACTGTGTTCTTAGAATGGGGGAGGTGTCGGGGTAGGGGTGGCTGCCTGAGAGGCCTCTGCATCTGTGAATTAGGCCACCTAACTGGCGGCTGTGCTGAGGCACAGAGCTCCCGGGCAACTCCCCATGTCACGGTTCCGGCCTTTATGCACATGCTCAGTTTTGCACTGACTGTGCCAGGCTCCTGAAATGCTGTGCATTCTTCAGTGAAGAGGCACTGAATCTGTGCTTTATTTTCGATTTAATCTTTTCAAGAGAAATGCAGTGAAGGAGGTGGCAAAGACAGCTCCTAGCATCCATCTGCTGATGGCAGGGCCCTGCATAGGTTGTGATCGGCCTCAGGGGTGGCAAACCCCCACTAGGGCCGGGTTGCTATAGAGAGGCAGCGTGAAGTTTCTCGCTGCACCCCTCCACCGTGGGAAACATCTGTGTGAGAGGACCAGTGCCTGCGTGTGCTCAGCTTAACATGGGTCACATGAGCACCTGGAGATTCTAGCCCTGGCTGACTCCAGCTCATCTGCATGTGGAGCCTCCTCCGTCCTTTTCCCTGCTGGCCCCAGCTGTCGTTTGTTTAGGTTTGGTGTCTTACCAGCCTCAATGTCAAGGAAGAGAAACAAGAACATGGTGAACATCTGTGATTAGGGATCTGCTGAGCAGGGCATGGTGAGCCCTGAGACGGCCTCATCCTGGGTGTGGGCAGGTAGCTGGAGGTCTGAATAGGCTGCCCGTCACCATCCTTCATTACATGCCTTGGGACATTTCATGGTGGATCAGTTCTAGTGACTAGCAAAATTTAGGGGTAGACTGGCACAAAACAGGTTGGGCCATTAATGGTTAATAAAAATCCACCTAAGACCATTTCTGTTGAGACCTGTTAACACACGGGAGACTGGAAGGTACTCCTCATTGCTGGCTGTTTGGTTTTTATTTGGAGCCAGGATTTAGTTGTGAGTGGACTGCAGGAATCATTGGACATCAGCTCCCTATTTCCTGAGACAAGGGGAGTGGGTGATCTTTCATATTGTTCTCATTTTCACATTTGCTACCATGAGTCTGCCGTATATTTAAGATCAGGAAGACACCCTTGACTTTCAAAAGGAGCCTTTGACCCCTGTGGGGTACTTGCATGTTTGACCATTAGACATCCTTGGGCTCCTGAGCAGGTTGTGGCTTTCACACCCTCCTCCTCCCCCTGCAGAGTGTGCACATGGCCCATGGGACTCCCCCGTGCTGAAATACAGGTACCTACCTGCAACTCCTGCCATTGTATGGGGCACCTCTGGCTCCAATAACTTGACGTCTGAATGGTCATGACCTCAGCATTAGTTATTTTGCAGAGTCCAGGCCCAGGGAGGTTGGTTTTTGAGCAGCTTTGTAAGCGTCCCTTTGGTGGTGTTAATGTGCTTTAATGGAACTTGACTGCTACCATTTCTGATGACTGGTTGGTTATTGATCCATAGGATTAATCAGAGGCACTCTGAGAGGGTCAGGTGACAGTTCCCTAGAGGCTGGAAGGTCTCTGTCCTCGGCTGGGGCTGTGGATGGGTACCTGTCCCCAGTTTCAGTCCTTCCATGTAGCAGGGTTTTAGTTCACTTTTGAGAGTAGACATTTGGCTGGGCTTCCACCTGAACATTCGTTTATTCAATTCTAAAGTCAGAGTCAAAGAAGCTGAATTCCAGGAACCTGTGCTTTGATTCTGAGCTCAGTATTGGCTTAAAAGTAAATTCAGTGTTAAACTCTCATTGGAGTAATGGGATTTATTGTTATTGAGGGTTTTTTTCTTAGAAAAATTAAGTTGTAGACATCTTTTGTAAATTGCTCATAATAGTTTCAATCTGCAAAAAAATAGCTTATCAACAATTCTTTCTCTATAGAATAGTCTTGACCTTCACTCATGTTAGCGAGATACTAGGTGCAAATAACTCTATGGATTTTACCTAACATGAAAATTAGCACATCTCAAAGACCTGTTTTGTATTCTGAAGACTATACTTCGTGACACATTCATTCATTCCCCATGGAGGAGCCTTCCTGGGTGCTGACAGGCAGTTCATATTTACGATTCCACAGAGTGATGCGTGATTGGGGTCAATAATGCAGATGATCTTTATGTTGTAGTTTACCCTTATTTCCCTAAATCTGTGAGTCTAGAGGACCGCTTTGTTCCAAGATCAAGAGACAGGCCAGAAATGTGACGTGACATTGTGACGAAGGCTGCCAGGGTCTCATTTGTTCCCATCACTTTTGTTTTATGGGCTTTAATATAAATCTAATATTGGGTAATGTCCATCCAAATGGGAGGTGGAATGAGATCATACAGTGTAGCTCTGGGGCATTTTGGGGAATCTGAGTTGTTGTTTGTACTTGCTGCTTTCATTAAAACTCCATGACAATATTGTTTTTCTGGGAGTTCTGTAATCCTGTGAATTTTAATCACCAGTATCTGTGGTGGTTGTTTCCAGTCTTTTTGTAAAGATAATTGAAAGATCTCTCTTTCCTTCTGGGTTCTGGCTCAAAAATAAATGTTGAGAAAGACTATTAAGCAAATTTCTGCCTGTTCCTCATTTAGAAATTAAATGAATACTGAGCAGCTGAAAGGGAACCCAGGCTGTACTTAGGGCCCTTGGGGTGTAGGTAATACCAGTGGGGAGGGACACTTCATTATAAAAGCTGTTGTCGGAATATCGCTGTAATACTGTCCTGACCTGAGCAGCAGCAGGCAGCCCACCGGGATGCACGTTTCTTGAGATTGCCAACGCAGGAGGGCAGGGCTGTTGACATGACTGGTGACCCAGGAATGGGGTGTGCCTCTACCGCAGACACAGCGTGTGGCTTTTGGGCAGGTCCTCTGTGTCTATTCATACAAGCAAATAGGTCTTCAGGCGGAGTCCTTCATGTGCGCCTGTCCTCAGTGAGTACAACATCAGCCCCCACAGTGCAGCTCAGAGCATGGTGTCTGGGATCGAAACTAAAAATAAGGGGCATGTTTCACCCCCACTTCATTTATTGTTTTGTCACAAAGGTGTAATTTAGTTTCCCTCCTAAGCAGTAAGAAAGCCCCACCAGTTTGAATTGTTTGCACAGTTCTAGCTGATAGACAGTTCTCAGGAGCTGGAGCTGGGCACTCGACCCAGGTTTTGCTAACTGTTGGCAACCAACACTGCAGAACTAGGAAGCCAGTTTCGTGGTTTAAAACTCCTGGAATTCATCCCTATGGTCTGTTCTGTGAGTGCTGTTTCTCTGGAAGACCACTGGGGGCCTCGTTTTGATCTTAGGATGACATTGCAACATTCAGAAGGAGTCAAGGTCTTTCAGAGGAAGACAGAAAACAGACAAGAGGCTTGTGCCACGCTGTTCTAAGTGTTTCCCAGAGATTACCTCCTGTAGTCCTCACAGGGAGGAGTTCAGTACTTGAGTGGAGGGGGGCGGGGGGTTGAGGATGCAGAGCCAGGTTCATGCCGGGCAGGCTGGCCTCAGCACTCTCCCCTGACCCCGTGCCATTTGCCATCAAGAGTGTTGTCAGGTGGCAGGAAGGGCATGGAATGTGCCTGCTAATGTCCACTGTCCCCAGTTCATGTAAGTTGACTACAATATATTTTTGTTCTATAAGAAAGCTCTTAGAAGTGACCCTCGGTATCCATGGGCCTGCCTCTGATTTTTGTCACCAGGTCTTAGGAATTTCTATTCTCGAACATCACAGAAGTAGAAACTTTGCCTGCTGACTCTGTCGCTGTCCCCACGGTCAGCAGTGGGCATGCTCACTGTGGTTCTGCAGTCTGTCTGTGTTTTTTCCTCTGTCTCTAGCTCATCCCTTTTCATCACTAGGTAGTATTCCAGCATGTGAATGCACAGTTTGTGTTCAACTCGGAGGTACATCAGGCGTGGTGAGCCGGGCTGTCCTGCGGGACTGCCATACACATTCCCTAGAGGCTTTGGGCAGATTTGCCCCATGTCTCTTGGGTGAGTCCCAGGAGTAGGACGGCTTTGCCTTAGGGTGAATGCTTATTTCACACTCTTTTGTGTCATTCTCAAAAAGGCATTCCCAGCTTGCAAGATGACATAAATAAATCTCCCTGTGTATTTTCTTCTAGGATTCAGTCATTTTTATTTTCATTTTTAACACTTAAAAGGTCAGGAGACATCTGGGCCCCGAGCAGCCCGTTTGCGTGGGCACTGCACAGAGTTGGGGTAGAATCATAGGAAACACAGGCTGTGGGACAGGACCAGCCCCAGTGGCAGCACCTACACAGAGGCGAACTGATCCTTCGCTGATTCTGTCGTGTGTGTGTGTGTGTGTGTGTGTGTGTGTGTGTGTGTTGGTTCTTGTCTCAGCCCTAGGCTCTGACCAGTCTCCTTCCCTCCTGCAGCACCAGCAGGAACTGCTGGCCCTGAAGCACCAGCAAGAGCTGCTAGAGCACCAGCGGAAGCTGGAGAGGCACCGCCAGGAGCAGGCACTGGAGAAGCAGCACCGTGAGCAGAAGCTGCAGCAGCTCAAGAACAAGGAGAAAGGCAAAGAGAGTGAGTGTCACGTCTAGGCCACACCAGGGCCTTCCTCAGGTCGAGGTTATTTGTGCTCCACTTGCTCCTTGGTCTTAGCATGAGGTGTCACTGCAGGGTCACTTCAAGTGGCTGTTTCAGTTGCTCTCAGCTTCAGCCTCGATAGTGACTTTATCCTCATTTGGGGGCTGGAGGAGCAGTCAGCATGACCTTTGGGTTGACATAAGCATATTAAAGTATATTTGGCAGACTCCTAATAGGTTGGAAAATATTAAAAACCAAGTGGGTATGCGTTTTACCCGTGAGCTCAATCCTGAGTATTTGAAAGTTCTTTTCTTTTGAGAGCATTTTGTGGATGCCTTGAACACAATGTTAGCTTGTGGGACACCCGTAGCTGAGAGGAGACATCGTGACCAACCCCAATTCTGCTTTTTATAGTGGCTGTTCCCCTGTGTCTGATACCAGTGTGGTCTGTTATCCTTAGAAAGGCCCAGACTTGATCTGAGCCTGGAGGCTGCTCTGTGTGCTGTTTCCCTTTGGAAAATTTCCCGAGTCTCTCAGGGAAGAGGCCACAGCCCCCTTTGCTGACTGCACGGCCACTGGACAGAGATTGGCTTGGGCTTGCACAGTGACATGGACACAAGGTGACTGGCCTGAGTAAGGCCTGGTGTATTGACAGTTGCAGCATCCCGCCCAGACTGTGATAAAAGGAACGCTGCCCCCAGGAGTATTGTGCCACTTTCTTTTGACAACTTGTTGCAATGACACATCAGGGCCTCCTCAGCAGAGCCGTGTCCACAGTCCTTGCCTGTCAGCTTCCACCCAATGCCCGTGCTCAGCTAAACTTGTTTGTCCCTGGTCACACTGAAATAAGTCAGGTTGCATATCTGTCCCTGTCAGGGCTTGGGCATTGATGGTTGGGTGAGTTTCCCATCCAATATTCACGAGTAAAAGAAGAAGACTTTATATGCCTCACCAAGATGCAAAACCTCTAAATTCTCAAAAGTCCTTCAGTTTCAACTTCTGAAAATGATTAGCCATCTGTACAAGTCATTTTAACAAGCTTTTGTTTAAATTTAATATCCAATTCCACGACAGCATTTTATATTTTTAAAGTCTTCTTGTAAAGTATATTATTTGAAACTAGAGGCCCGGTGCATGAAATTCATGCGGGGGGAGGGGGGGTATGTCCCTCAGCCCAGCCTGCACCCTCTCCAATCTGGGACACCTCGAGGGATGTCCGACTGCCTGTTTAGGCCCAATCCCAATCCTGGACTGCTGGCTCCCAACTGCTCGCCTGCCTGCCAGCCTGATCACCCCCTAACCACTCCCATACCAGCCTGACCGTTGCCTAACTGCTCCCCTGCCAGCCCATTCACCCCTAACTGCTGTCCCCTGCCAGCCTGGTCGCTCCCAACTGCCCTCCCCTGCCGGCCTGGTCACCGCTAACTGACCTCCCCTGCCAGCCTGGTCACCACTAACTGCCCTCCCCTGCAGGCCTGGTCACCCCTAACTTCCCTCCCTTGCCAGCCTGGTCACCGCTAACTGCCCTCAGCTGCCCTCCCCTGTCGGCCATCTTTGACCACATGGGGGCAGCCATCTTGTGTGTTGGAGTGATGGTCAATTTGCATATTACCTCTTTATTTGATAGGATTATTATAAAGGTCGTTGTTATTGGTGTATGATAGACATACAGAAAAGCCCCCAATCTTCAGTTTATAGGGAACTCTTGGGGGAAACTGCCCTCAAGGACCATCCTGTGTTACCGTCCGAGGTACGAGGACAGTCACCACTCCATTCTCCTTCCCAAAGGTAACTGCTCCCCGACACCTAACACCCCAGAGTCATCTCTCCCGCTTCCAAAATGAGTGGGATCATTATCTAGGGGCTCCTGCGTTTCCCTTCTTCACTTGACGCTGTGCTTGCGAAGCCATCCTCACTGGTGTTCATGTGCTTTTACTGCAGATCAGCCCCTCATGGACGCACCGCCATGTGTGTCCCATGCACTGCAGATATTCGGGCTGTTTTCTGATCAGGGCTGTCACAGTAAAGCTGCCGTGCACGTCCTTGGACATGTCTCTGGGTGCAGATGAGTCCCTGTGATGTCGTATCACTGAACCTTAGGGTAGTGTGTGTTCAACTTTCATACGTGATGCCAGATGGTTGTCCAAGCCTCTGTACCAGTTTTTGCTGCCACCAGCTGTGGGACAGTTGCTGTTGCTCTGAGTCCCCGCCAGCGCTGGTACTGCCATCAGTCACTGCCCTGTCAGTTGGGTGTAGCAGCTCCTCATGGCTCCAGCATGTTTCTCTGATTACCAGTGAGATGGGCACCTTTTGCTATTCCCCATTGTTGAAGTATGCCCATTTGTCTAATGCGCTGTCTTCCTTTCTCTGAATGTGGAGTTGTTCATTTTATGTCACTCTCCTAACATAAGTTCAGTCCTGACATAATTTATCTATCCTTCTTAAATTAGAATTAGTTTATAATAAAATCTGTACTATTATGCCTATATTGTTTTCTGCATTTTATAAATATTTTCTCTTTATAAAGGGCATTTTTTTGTTCTAAAAGTATCTAGCTAGTGTATTCTCTTTATTTTTAGTTTATTTCTCTATTTGTAAGTTCATAGTAATTGTTTTTATACATAAAATTAACACCTTTTACAATCATTTGTTATTACAGCAGTTTACTTTTTTGTTTAAATATTTTTTTAAAATATGTTTTTATTGATTTCAGAGAGGAAGGGAGAGAGAGAGAAAGAGAGAGAGAGAGAGAGAGAGAGAGAGAGAGAGAGAGAGAGAGAAACCTCAATGATGAGAGGGAATCATCCATTAGCTGCCTCCTGCACACCCCCTACTGGGGATGGAGCCCAAAACTTGGGCATGTGCCCTGACCAGGAATCAAACTGTGACCTCCTGGTTCATAGGTCCATGCTCAACCACAGAGCCACACTGGCCTGGCCAGCAGTTTACTCTTAAAATAATAAATATTTTCTTCAACTCTGGTAGAGCTTCAATGTGAAAAGCACATCAGGAGAGTTTATTCTCCCTGTGAGATCTGACTTTTGTGCGATATTTGAAAGTAATGACTAACTGAGTGGCATAGTGATCTGTACCACAGCAGTGAGGTGTGGTGATGACTGCAGGCTCAGGGGTGGCTCAGTTGAGATCCAGCAGTGAGGACAGAAGGCTGCCAGGAGGAGCTTCACTGTAGACTCTGGTTGGCTGCTAGCATCCTTGGTATTGGAGCACAGATTGGGGCCCTGCAAGGGGCAGATGGGGCACATGGTGTCAGTCACCCTTGTCGCTCTCACTGCATGGCCCCTGCATGGCCCGCTGGCTCAGATGACACTCCTCTTCTACACCACTGCCTGTCTTATGTGTGCTGACTTCTTTCAGCTGAGGGAACTTCCTGGCTGAGGGTGCAGCCAGGGCACTGACACCATGAGGGATGCGTGAGAGGTGCAGCACGTGGAGCCAGGTGTCCTGGCATGTTTATGTGGATTGGAGTGTGGACAGTGGAATTGTCGTTTCTAAAACTCCCGGTGAGTTTACTGTGTGGCCAGGATGAGAACTAGATGATTCCTCTCGCTCTGTGTTAGGAATCTGCATAACCGAGAGGCTCCGGGGCCTGTCACATGTGGCCTGGCCTACTATACGGGTGCTGCCTTCTACTTCAGAGAGCCGCCACCGTAGACAACAGCACCAGGCCTTGTAGGGGGCACTGTGAGGGGCTTCTGTTGTGAGCAGGAAGCTTGCATGCAACCCAAAGCCGCAGGAGTGCATGCAAGGCTGCTGTTACATGTGGCCTGCCAGGAAGTCCTCTGTCCTCATTCTCCCATGCTCTGCTTGGAGCTCAGTGATCCTACACATTTTTCTTTAGGGGGAGGAAGTCATTGCTGCTTATCCAAGGATGGATGTTTAACATATCAGATAGTTCGTCTGTGCCACAACTAACCAACAAAATACCAGTTTTTCAGATTGCTTAAAAGCAGCTCATCTAAATTAGTCCTTGTATTTACCAGAATCTTCCAATACAAACAAACAACATCTTAAGCCTCACAAAATATGAAAACCCTTGACTTTAGAAAACATCTTAGATCTGTTTGCAAGTCAGAAACAATCTCTGCAGCCCTTGTGGAGCAACCCCACTCAGCCCAGCCAGAGCGCCGGAGTGTCCTCTGCTTCTCTCCAAGCTTGTCACAGCGTAGCACCGGTGGTTTCCAATGTGTGGATTTGGGTGGTCAGGTTTTATTAGTAGTAGTAAACTGTGTACGGTGTGAGGATTTGGCACACTGGGGTCAGCTCTGCCGCCTTGAGGGCGGTCCTGTGCAAAGGCCCTGGCGTTGGCGGCTGTGGCCCTGCCTGTGATCAGGCTCCTGGTTACACACTTGGAAATGCAGGGCACACTGCTGTCCAGATTTTTGTTTTTTAAAATTAATTTCTTTTTAAATACTTAATTCAAAATTTTGTTACATTTGTAAACATTTACAGTACTTTTAATTTTAAATAATTCTGCAGGTGTGTTTTTTTAATTTCTGATACCATTAATACCATTCATTTGAAAGAATAGTGAATTCTCAGAATTTGTGGGAGTTATGGTATCTCAGCATTGATACACGATCTTTAATCAGTTAAGTTTTAGTTAGATTTACTACCTTTAAGAATCTGAACTACACTGTCTCTTAATATAAATTTAAAAGCAAGTCTTTGTTCTCTGAGCAGGTCAGAATAAGCATGTCGACTCTCATCACTGTCCTTTATAATAGCTTGGTTGAGAGTAAGGGGCCTTCACTAGGAAACTCATTTACTTTGTTGTAAAAATGGCTCAAAAGGCTGGAGTTAAGACTGAACATCTGATCCTGAAAGTGATCCATTTGTTCCATTTCCTTCCTCAGAGGAACGTGGAGCATAAAAAAAGGAGTTAGGTTCAGGCACAGGCAACTGAAGGTAGCAACAGATTTGTTTAATTCATTGTGTCCACCAGCTCATTCTCCAGCCCCTCAGCCTGGGCCCCCACCTGGTCAAGTCCTCCACCCATCTGCTGGACCCTGACCTGGTCAGGTTCTCCCACCCATCTGCTGGACCCCGACCTGGTCAGGTCCTCCCACCCATCTGCTGGACCCCCACCTGGTCAGGTTCTCCCACCCATCTGCTGGGCCTCCACCTGGTCAGGTTCTCCCACCCATCTGCTGGACCCCTACCTGGTCAGGTCATCTCACCTATTTGATGTGTCCCAAAGTGGTCTAGATCCTCCCACCTATCTGCTTGGTCCCATCTGGTTTACTGTACTTCATATCTCTCTTCCTGTTTATCTTTTTATTTACCTGCCTTTTCTTTAGACAGCCCCCTGCCCCACTCCACCCTGTTGTTTGAGACTTTGTCTCTCTTATGTTGGCCGGATCAGTACTAGCACATAGTAAGGTCTCTATAAATCCTCTCAAATGAATAAATGATAATGTACATGAATTATTTTAAAAAGTAGAAATTTTGAGACATTTGGTTTTTGTTTATTGAAGAGGCGTTATTGATTCCAGAACTTCGTTTTACAGTGGAAAAATACTTTGAGAGATGAGTACATAAATCAGAACCAGCAGCTTCCTTTTTGAATTGTATCCTCATGAAGTACAAAGAAGAAAAGAAGATTTCCTTTGCACTCAAAGTCGCAGGTCTGTGCCTTGGCATTACTTGTTTGCTGCAGGCAGGCCTGTGGGGAGCTGAGAGGACGTGCATTTGGGTCATGCCCACTGGCCCCTGTGAGGAGGGACCCGTAACTCAGCCCCCAGCTAAAGGTGGCTGGAGGAGGCCAGTCGGGGTCACTCCTGTGACCACATCACCGTTGGCCACTTCTTCTAAAGTAGACTTGGTCGGACAGGTCAGGGAGGCACTGCATCATTTTAGTTCATTTAGCTGGGTAAGGAGCCTTTCAGATCATTTTAAAGATGAGGAAGTCTTGTTTGGGGAGTTGGGTTTGTTTTCCTTTGATTTCATGAGAGCCTGGTACGGTGCCCTCTCCCACCCTTGAGCAGGTCAAGGAGCCATCGTGCCTGCAGCTGCCCTGTAGCCCCTCAGCCCTGCAGACACCCCTCCTCCTATGAGGATCCTTTCAGCAGCTCAGGGGACAAGGGCATCTCGGTGTCCCAGCTTGGTGGGTGCTTAGCATAAATGGGCCATCGTCTCCACTGGGCAGTGCATGTGCCCTGGCCACACCTTCCTGCCCTTGGTTGTTACTGGGATTTATTGTGTGCCCTTCCTGCTGGGGCTGGGCATTTGTTCTTTGCCTTTCTCAGAGTTCAGGAGCCCATGATGCAAGCTTGAGGGTGTGGCCAAAGCAGGGAGAGGCAGTGACTTCCTAAATGAGAGATGTATGAGGTTCTCTCTATTCCTAGAGCGCTTGCAGGTAAGAAATACCATCCCTCCCATAAAGGGAAAGTGGATCCATGTGAATAGGTATTTCTTGAGGTTAGGCTAGCTAACAGGGATTCTCATTTGTTGGAAATTTTTGGGATGTGTTCTTATCCTGCTCAGTGAGAACTCTGCTTCTTGTCTTGCTTTCCATTACTCCTTCTGAGACAGCAGGTGTGGAAGGACCTGAAGGTTATGTCCTTTGACTGCCCATTGGGGTTGTCTTCACCCTCTTCCTCCTCATTATCATCATGCAGTTTGATCACTTTCCTGCAGTGCCAGTGGCACTAAAACATGCCAAGTACTGAGAGATAAAGTAGTAATCTCAACTATTGATAAAGATGTAGGGGACCTGCCCCTGGTGTGTGGCCAATATGAAGTCACAAGTATTTAAAGGCATTTGGAAGATGCTCCAAGGGACTATAATATTAAACCTGTTAGATGTCATCATTTTGATGGTCTCTCCTAAGCACTAATTCTTCACATGGACAGTGTTACTGACTCATACATGTTCTTTACAGCGTGGTTTCTAACCACAACAAAAGGAAAATCTAAGGATGCCCCACAGTCAGGACTTGATTTTGTAAACTCTCTTTCACTCACTGTGGGAATGTTTTCCCACCATGAAAATTCTGTTTGAGTCTATACAATGATGGGACATACGTAGGCCCATCATTGTTGGGGGATGGACACAGATTCTGAGTAATCAATGGCAGCTCTGAGGAAACAGGGTAGATGTTCACAGGTTGGGTGTGGGAGTGTGAGTTTGGACTTTCATTTCTGTGTGTCTCTTTTGAGATTAGCTTGTTTGTGCTACTTTCAAGACACCCCAACAGGGGACACCAAGAGGCTCTTGTCCCTTGAGCTGCTGGAAGGATCCTCACAGGAGGAGGGGCATCTGCAAGGTTAAGGGGCCTCCAGGGCAGCTGCAGGCACCATGGCTCCTTGACCTGCTCTATGGTGGGAGAGATTATGGCCAACCAGCAACCCAACAAACCACAAAGCTCATGACCTTGACTTTAGTCCAGTTGGTGAAGTACTCTCTGCCTCAGTAGCTGCAAGGCTGGAAGAAACAGAAATGTGCATTCGATATTATGTGTTATATATAATGTCGATATGATTGCAAAGGAACCTGCTGCCTTATGGGTTCAGGAGTGTGGCAGCCTGCCCAGGATGCAGGCTTCCTCCCTGCTGCCATTGCCATGGGAGGGACGTGTCGGTGTGTACAAAGCTTCTGAGATTCTGCCTCTAGTGCTGTAGTGAGAAAGAAACCACTTTGCTGCCAGTGCTCAGTCCAGAACTTTTTTATTTATTTATTTTTATTTTAGAGAGGAAGGGAGAGGGGAACATCCATGTGAGAGAGAAACATCAATCGGTTGCCTCCTGCACTCACCCTGACAGGGGAGGATTCAACCTACAACCTGGGTATGTGCCCTGACCGGGAATCGAACCTGCCATCCTTTACTGTACAGGACAACACTCCAATCAGCTGAGCCACCCAGCCAAGGCCAGAATGTTCTTTTATGTAAGAACTAGAGGCCCAGTGCATGGATTCGTGCACCGGTGGGGTCCCTCGGCCTGGCCTGCGCCCTCTCGCAATCTAGGACCACTCAGGGGATGTCGGACTGCTGATTTCGGCCCAGACCCCACAGGCGAGGCCGAGGGACCCCACTGGTGCACGAATCCGTGCACCAGACCTCTAATATGCATATAAGATCTTTGGTTAATCTCTTCCCGCCCTCCCCCCTTCCCTCTGAGATTCATCAGTCGGTTCCATGTGTCCATGCCTGTGCATTGAGCATCTGCCCCCCTGGTGGTCAGTGCACATCATAGCTACTGGTCAAATGGTCGCTTAGGCTTTTATATAGAGAGAGATATTAAAGCTTCCTTCAGATGTGGGTTTGTGTGAGGGGATAGTCTGTCTTCATATTGATTGCTTCTGCACTTCTGGTAGAATGCAATTATGTAAAAATCCTTGGTGGGAAGAGGACCTCTCATTAAAGCTTCTTCTGCCTTCTCCTTACTTAGAGAAGCTTCCATGGTGTCAGCAGCCTCCTGAATTACAATCTCAATGTCTCCAGCCCCTTTATACCATTTCAGGGCAGAGCCTCCAGTCACTGCCTTGTGCTTTCTCCCATGCCAGGTGCTGTGGCCAGCACAGAAGTGAAGATGAAGTTGCAAGAGTTTGTCCTCAATAAAAAGAAGGCGCTGGCCCATCGGAGCCTGAACCACTGTATCTCCAGTGATCCTCGCTACTGGTATGGGTAAGTGGGGTGTGGGCAGGGCCCCAAGCATGCAATCTGTGATAGATTTGAGTGGCACCAGTTCTGCTCCTGGAAGGCAGTGGGAGGGTGTGGAATTAGACACTCCCAAGACAAATAGCAAACATGCTATGAAGGACGAGGTCTGGTGGTAAGACGCACTGCAGTCACCCAGAGGAGCGTGGCCCTCTCTTAAAATGACCAGAGCTGGGGCCTGCCCATCATTCTTGGCTTTCCTGGTCTTCTCAGGCCACAAAAGGATCCACTTCATTTGGAACTCTGGTCTCAATTGTCCATAGGCACCTTCTGAATCTCTTCCCCATGTTATTGATTCTTAGGGAGTCAGTAAACCCCTGCAGTGTGTTTATTATTTTTACATAAGAGCCTATGACAGAGACCATCAAAGGGCCTGCTCATGCTGGAAGTCGAAAGTCCTGACCTTGTCAGTGGCGATGCCATGTGCAGGGGGAATGTTCTGTCAGCACGGTTCCAGGGCGCTGACCGTGGACACGGGCCAGGTTTGAAGGGCGTGGCGAGCTTGTGGCTTTTAACACTGACCAAGGTGCTTCACAGATGTTTGCTTTATATTTAGGTTTCTACTGCTCGCCCGGGTAATTTCATGTTGGGAGAAACCCATAGGGTAGTTTTTATAAATCAAAATGTGACTACCATTAATTTCATTGGGAAAAAATGTAGCTGTCCTCAAGCTCCAAAGTACTAAAACACCAAATCCCATTGAGGTAACCCCACTTATTCCCTTAGATGACATATCAGGTATCTCAATGCAATCTAAAGGCATTTTGTCCCCAGGCCCTTTTCTGCTCCCCTTGGCTTTCTGTGACTGCTCATTGCTGGGACACCAGGCTGTGCTCGTGCCATGACCTGCTGTGGTATTTATACAGCTCAACCAGTGACAGTCACACAGGAAGGAAGGCCGTGGGGGTCCATGCAAAGTCATAACAAAGTCCTGAGCCCAGAGCCACCTGAGAGGGTGGGTTCGTTAGAAGTGCTGGGGCAGTGCACTTGGAGACCCTACATTTGGTAGCACCAGTCTGACCTGTGGTCTCTCCACTAGTAATAGTCACAGGTTTTGTCATGGGAAAGATCCACTGTCTAGGCTGGGGTGGCAGGTGGATGCTGGCTGAGTGAGGGTAGCAGTTGGGAAATGGCTGTGGTGGTGTCCACGGAGCTGAGCTGGGGGCAGCAGTAATGAAGCTGGGGTGGGGTGGGGTGGGGTGGGGTGGGATCAGGGACCAGGAGGCACAGAGAGGAACCTGGACTATAGACCTGTAAGGGGAATAGCTGGAGGGAGGCTGAGACAGCTGGCGAAGGAGGCCCCAGGAACCTATCCAGAAGAGGAGCAGGGTCAGCGAGGTGAGCCCAGGCAAGTCAGAGTGGGAGGCATGGCTTGAGCACATCAGGGTTGTTGGATGGCTGCCACAGGGCCCTGGAGGAGGGTTAGGGTAACTGTGGGGCTAGGAGAGACTAGGCGGATAGGAGTAGAGGCCATGGTGGTGGGCTCATGGATGAGGGGGAGCATGGGGCCCACAGGCTGGGAAAGTGCATCACCTGCATCCAGGAGGCTGCAGAGAACGGGTGGCCTCTGGCAGAGACCGGGCAGGAGCTGTGAGGTTGGAAGTGTAGGGGCTTCTAGGGAGGGGTCCACAAGGCGTGGCTGGGAGCAAGGAAGGGAAGAGGACAGGACTTCGGGGCTCACCTGTCTGGCAAGTGGCTGCCCCTAGGATACACTGTAAAACTGATTTGGTAGAGGGTGTGAACCCCCAGACCTTGGATGACATTGTGGGAGATAGTCCCTGGGGTGAGGCCTTCGGGGTCTTAGTACAACTGCAGGTTAACAGGAGGGCTTTGTGCCTGAAGGAGAGGCGACCCATGATGAGGTTGCAGCTGGCCCATGGGTGCCCCTGTCCCAGCCTGGACTCCCAGCCCAGGCCGCAGGTGGTCCCCTGGAATATGAGAACGTCCTGATGGAGTTTTGTCCCTGTAGCAGTGGGGCGTGGCCTGGCGGGGCTGGTGCCAGGCGCTCGATGGACCAGCCCTGCTCATTGACCTGGTCTCCGTAAGAGACACCTTCTTTACACTGCTTTGCTCTTGAACATTCAAATATCCACCTGTAAGCACTTAGAAGCTCACATTCTTAATTCAAATAGCAGCAGGTGCATGGATAAGAAGTCCTGTGTATTCAAATAAATAGTCTAACAAATTCCAAATAAGTTTGGCAAATTTGTTTTCAATCATTAAGCAGATTACACAGTTTGAATTTCACAGAATTCATTACACCTCTGGTGCTTCCACAAGACTCAGCTGGCAGTTCCACCAGGACAGAGCTTGCTAATGGTTGTCCGGAGGGCAGCCAGCACCCTCCCTCTGAGGCCTCCCTCTCCCCTGAGCCTCCTTATGGCAGCCTGCCTGCCAGCCATTTTAAGGATTCTGAGTTCTGCATGGCTGTTCATAAAGAAGTAAATGTATAGATCAACTCCAGGGAAGCCTGTCCCTCCCCACAGAAGGAAAATGTCTGTAGTGATTGTGTCCTGGTGGAGGCATGGGTGAAAGCTGCAGGTTCTCTGCTGGAGGGAAGTACCACGTGGCTTCTGCCCTCAAGGACCCACAGACAGCTCCAGCAGTCATCCCAAAGCCCTCCCATTTCCCCTTACAGCCACTCCCAATCACACCTTTGGTTTCTTACACCTGGAGCCCCCCTGTCTGCCCCTGGGCCCTGTCCCCCCAGCACAAGCCCCTCTGTCGGTGGTGACCCTGGTGGCCAGAGTACAGACGAAGTCAGGAGCCACCTGAGAGCAGTGGCCTGGCAGAGACTTCTCAGCACCGGGTCAGGCGGCGGCGGAGGTGTGGTCACATGATCTGCCTCTCTGTCGGTGTTGGTTTTGGTTTCCTTTCAGGCTGGCCCCAGAGAGGAGGCTGGTCTGCCCAGGAGGCCGTCAGCTGAGCTGGAGCTGATGTCAAAGCGGGGACCATTCATGGGGACAGTGTCTCGGACTTCGGTGTGGCTTGCTCCAAGGAGCCAGGCTACACTGGGTCCATGCCCCACACTCACTAAGCCATGTCTTTGCATGTCATCCCCAGGAAAACGCAGCACAGCTCCCTGGACCAGAGCTCCCCGCCCCAGAGCGGTGTGTCGGCCTCCTACAACCACCCGGTCCTGGGCATGTACGACGCCAAAGACGACTTCCCTCTCAGAAAAACAGGTCAGTGTCCCTGTCTGCTGGTGTGAGGATGGGGTGGGCTCTGCACCTGCACCCCCCATATCCCCAGGTCCACCTGGCACTAACAGGAAGCCCTTGCTTATTTTAAATAGGTGCTACTTTATTAGAGCATCATTTTAAACAATATTCTTAAGTATTCCTGTGTGATTCATACCAAAAGCAATGAACGTCATATATGTGCACCTACTTTTTAACCCTCAAGCTCATTTGTAAACATGCAAACTTACTCTTCTTTTGGTGGTGTGCTGTACTTTGTCCCAGCCTAGAGTGTCCCCTGGTGGGTGTGGGAACACAACTGCTCCTGTGACGGGCCTCGAGGTCTTCTATTGTTGGCTCTCAGTGCTGTTTCTGGGCAGAGCCCACGCTGCGGGGGTGGTCGGGGCCCTGGAGTTGGGGGAAAAGCTGTATGAGAAAGACATCAGGGACATTGCAGGGGGAGGTCTCAGGGGTTTGAGCAGCACCTTTGTAACAAGCCAGAGGGGAGCAGCACCTCTGTCACAAATGTAAACAGGGTGCCGGGCCTCTTGGACTTTCTGCAGCATTGGTGGTTTAAGCAGGCAGTGGCGTTTAAGAAGATGAGAGTGCCCTTGGCAGTGCACTGGGGCTGAGGAAGGGCAGGGTTAGAGCAGGAGGGCCGTCCAGAGCTCTGTCTCGGGGAGGCCAGGGCCTGAACAGCAGCAGAGCCTGGGCCACAGGGCAGTGTGGGTAATGTGGGGACACCTGCTTAATGGGAATAGTCTGCTGTGCAGCTGTGTTTTTGTAAAAACAAACTTTGTGTTATCAAGATTTCGGTTAATTCGGGACAGAAATGTTTTAAAGCAGTCACACCCCAGGTCTTTTACCCCAATGATGAGGCATTGGGGGTGGGGGCTCACCTGCCAGCCCACCCTAAGACTGAGATGTGGGGCCTCTCAGTAGGTGGAGCTGTGCCCAGAGAGGGGTCAGACCAGGATGCAAAGCTGGAAGTTGCAGGGAAGGAGGTTGAAGCTCAACCTCAGCGAGACTTGAGTAGCAGTCGAAGTGAGTGAGAGGAAAGGGCCACAGCAGTACGGCCATGTCCCTGGTGCTGACCCCAGAGCCTTGACTAGATGTTGGAGCCCCTCCCAGCCAGAGGTGGGGTCCTGCGAACAAGTGTAAAACCTTTAATGCTGAAGGTGGATGTGGGGCTTCTGTCCTTTCCTCTTTACTTTGAAGGTGTGGTTCTCACTCATCATCTGCCAAGAATGATCTTGAGTTCCCCTAAAAAGAGCGTCCACCAGCTGGACAGAAAGAAGTGTCTGTCAGGGTCTGGGGCCCACCCTCCAATTGCCCTTCACAGCCCCTTTAGGAGCTGTAATTAACCAAGTGCAGACCTGCAAAGCTGGAGTCCATGGTGAGTGGCGGGCACCGGGCTGGGAGGGAGACTCAGGCCAAGGCCCTGCCTCCTGTGCGGAGGGTGCTTGGTGCCCAGAGAGCTTAATCAAGAAATGACTGCACTGTCAGTTATCAAAAGACATCAGTAGCATATCAATAATATTAATAATACGAAGATTTCAGGGAAAATGTTTAAATGAGATCTTGCAGTGAGATGTTCTGTGTCATCCTACAGGTGTCTTCTTTCAAACACTGGACATCTAATTAATTCTAAATAATTTATATTTACATTTCTGCGGATACAGTCAGTTATGTGAAACTCTTTAAATGAAATGTTAGTTACAAAATGCCTTGGATGAATTAAAATGATCACCTTTAACAGGTGTGATGTATAATTAAATAATCCCATGATTTTACCTTTAATTTCTGTTGCCCTGCACACAGTTTGCCCACCTGTCCATCCTTAAGAGGCAGTCTCACGGTGTGTGAGCATGTAACATATATCCTCAATCTCACTGCTCTCCACACATCCTGCTCTCCTGCCTGGGCTTTGGTGGCTTCTGTGGGTGACACTCTCACCTGTCCTGTCTCAAGAGAAAAGCCCATCCATCTGTCCGAGTATTTGCATCCTCAGGGGAATTGGAGCACCCTGCCTGCCCAGCTGCCTAATAACTAGGGAGCTCTTGGCCTCCTATGCCTCCCTGAGGTAGCCTCCAGTGCCAAGCATCTGCTTGTGTTTTCCTGAGCTGTTAGGGCACTCTTGATCCTTTCCCCAGCCAGTGACCCATTCCGGCCAGACTTCTCACCCTCAGCCCTTTCCTCAATGCCACAGTCAGAAATCTAGGGAACCACTGGACACCCCTTGAGAAGACCTCACTGAAGGAAACACTAGCATTTACAGCCAGAAGTCTGGACATCAAGGCATACCTTGTTCTACTGGGATGTCAGGTTTCATCTTCTAGCCCTGCCCCTTTCCCAGTGATTGACAGGAGTTGTCCTCTACCTTCAACCAGAATATGAGGGGTCATTTCTAGACAGGGGTACAGAGCAGGTGAAGTGGTGCCCACCCCCATTGGGTCTTCTGGGTGGAGCCTCAGGGGATGCCCTAACCCTGGTTTTCTGAGCCTCTTCAAGTCCAGCAGTGACAGATGTCCTAGAAGTGTCAACATCCCCAGCACCTGGTCCGTGGGGCAGCAAACGACTTAACCTGAGATTTCCATGAAGTACAGCGTTTGGTTCTACATTCATACTGAGGAAAGCAGGCTCTTCCCCTTTAAAAGCAGAGTTTTGTCACAGTGATGGTGCATATGGATGTTATTGTTCTCCAGTAGCATCTTGGTCATTCTATTTCTGAAGATACTAGCTGCTGAAAAATCTATCTAATAAAGAGGGAATATGCTCATTGACTGCCCCGCCCTCAAATATGGCAGTGTCCACAGTCAATAAAAAGGGAATATGCTAATTGACTGCCACACCCTCAAAGATGGCAGCGCCCACAGCCACAAGATGACTGGCTGGGGAGGGCCCAGGCTGGCAGGAGAGGGCATTTAGGGGCAACCGGGCTGGCAGGGGAGGGCAGTTGGGGGCAATCGGGCCGGCAGGGGAGCAGTTAGGCATTTATCAGGCTGGCAGGGGAGTGGTTAGGAGGTAATCAGGCTGGTGGGCAGAAGTGGTCAGGGGCAATCAGGCAGGCAGGCAGGCGAGCGGTTGGGAGCCAGCAGTCCCAGATTGTGAGAGTGATGTCCGGCAGTCGGACATCCCCCGAGGGGTCCCAGATTGGAGAGGGTGCAGGCTGGGCTGAAGGACAAACACCCCCCCCCCCCCCCCCCAGTGCATGAATTTCATGCACCGGGCCTCTAGTGTATATATAGAAGTCTAAGCAACAGGCCGACCATTCGACCAGCCAACCAGTAGCTATACGCCCACTGACCACCATGGGGGCAGATGCTCAACTCAGGAGCGGAAACCACCGGCATGGAAACATGGAACAGACTGATGAAGGGAAGGGGGGAGGGCGGGAAGAGATTAACCAAAGATCTTATATGCATGCTAAAGACCTGGTACGCGCACGGATTCATATATGGTGGGGTCCCTCAGCCTGGCCTGCGCCCTCTCGCAATCCGGGACCCCTCAGGGGATGTCAAAGAGCTCGTTTCAGCTTGATCCCCACAGGCCAGGGCTGGGGACCCCACCAGTGCATAAATCCATGCACCGGGCCTCTAGTTGTTTCATAAAGACTTGTAAATGTGACTTCCGATTGATAAAAAAAGACCAGAGCCACAAAACAATCTGTTGTCATTCCACCACAACCCTTTTTCCACGTTGTCCATGACTCTGGGACCTCAGCACAGTTTTGCGCTGCATGGAGCCTGTTTGTTCAGGACCCCACCTGGCTCTCCAACACAGTGGCCACTCTCCCCAGCAGGAGACCAGCTGGTTGGCATGGGCATACTGTCTTCCCTGTTTGTTGTACAAAGCAAATCCCAGGCTTTCCTCAGCCTCGTGGAGAATTGTTGCAGTGAGAAAGGCCCGCCTGGAAAAGGAGCCTGTGCTCCCAATGGTCCCTGCACCATGATGGGCCCGGCAGCAGGCCCACAACTTGGCTTCTAGCCTGGATTCACTACTGCAACCCAGGTTCCTGCTCCTCCTTCTAAAACGTTCATCCAGCTCTGCACCTCCCCACATGGATGGCCCCGTTCGCAGTGGCTCACGAGAAGTATCAGTTGACTGCTGCCATGGGAAGCCCGATGGGTTTTCCTCTGTCACTGGCTGAAGCTGCCTTGCTGGGCGAGGAAGAGCTCCACAGTCAGCCGTGCCCTCACCGGGTGACGTGGGCAGATGACCCCACCAGGCGCATTTACCCATCTTGAAAATGGAGCAATAGTGCTCTTAAAAAATGGGCATGAGTGTGTTCAGGGGGTTTTAAAGAAGACTTTGTTGTGCTTTTCCAAAGAAACTCTTAGGGATAGCGAGTGTTGTTCAATACTAGGCAGCTTGTACACTGGGAAAGTGGCTCACACCTTGTTCTGTGTTCAGCCTTCAAACCCACACCTGTCAGACTTGACCTCCTTTCAGTATGAAAAGTGCCCAGTGAGCTCTTGTGCTGATCTTTTCAAATCTGCAGGTTTCACTGTTCAGAGGGAAAGCTGCCCTGAGCCCAGTTGAGTAGGGCAGGGGGTTTAGGAAACCCACCACCTTGAAGCATCACATAGAGTACATTTTTTTAAATGAAATATTACATAAGTAAAGCATGCTTATATTAAATTAACACACAAAAGTACGCACCCTGAGTCTTATTTCCCAAGGCAGCTACTGCCAGTAGTTTGTTATCTGCAGACAGTTTAGAGCCTGTGTGTTGGGTGGGTGTGTGTGTGTGTGGTGTATATAGCTGTCTTTTTGTTAAAATACCTGCTCTGCATTTTGTCCTGTAACTCAGTTTTTCAGTTAATCTTCTAATGGAGGCACCATTCCATGTGAGTGTATAAAGATTAATTGTGGGGCGCAGTTACGGTGTTTTGGCTAGGTTCAAACCTCGGACTAATGAAAGGACAGGGTCCTCTCATTGCCACGTGCAAGTCCCAGTGCAAGTCCCAGCTGGAGGGCAGGGCCCACCCAGCACAATTATAGCCAACAGCTTTGGTTGTAAGCTTGAACCTATGGTCCAAACATGTGGCCCCACGTGCCTTGTGGTAGAGTTCAGGTGCATATAGTTGAGTGAGGTTGGAGCTCACGAAAATGCTGTAAACAACGTGATCACGCCCCTACTTTGCCTTGTGGCATCTGCTATAAAATAAAGACACGGCTTGTGGGCGCTGGCGCTGTCTCCTCATTAGGGAGCAGCATCCCACCGAGACCCAGCTTTCATTCTCTTGTCTGTCTTTTCCTTAATCCTTTCACCCCCCCCCCCCACTCAGTTTACCTTTGGCCAAAACAATTAATACCTGATTGGTCAGGGGGTAGCCTGGGTTCTAGGTACAGAAGACTTAGGAACCACCATGGGCTTAGAGTCCCCGGTTTGCAAATAGCTCCGTCCACACAAGCAGAGCTATGAATAAAAACCAAACCAAGCCAAAACACCTGTGGCCTGTGTTTGGGTGAACTAGGATGTTGAGACCTGGCTTGGTTAACCCTCATCCCAGTGGGGTTGGTGTTAGTGCCCTTCACAGAGGACACAGGTGCTCCAGCAGGCAGCTTGCTTCTGGGTTTGTGATACGTGGCAGGTGAGCAGGAAAGTGTGTAAGGTCAAAATAATGCCCATGGGACAAAGCCCCAAAATGCCCAGTTCTCAGTTTTCTTCCCCTCTGCTGGTAAGGCACAGTTACAGCATTATTTTTTTTATTTTTATTTTTTTTTAATATATTTTATTGATTTTTTACAGAGAGGAAGGGAGAGGGATAGAAAGTTAGAAACATCAATGAGAGAGACACATCGATCAGTTGCCTTCTGCACACCCCCTACTGGGGATGTGCCCGCAACCAAGGTACATGCCCTTGACTGGAATTGAACCTGGGACCCTTCAGTCCACAGGCCGACGCTCTATCCACTGAGCCAAACCAGTCAGGGCACAGCATTATTTTTGATGACACCACTGACACAAGTTTATAATCCTATATGTGAAGAAATGTAGGCAAAGGCATCAGATGTGTTTTACTCGCTGTTTGAATGATTGAAAATACTCTGCCCACAGGCCTCAGGATAGTGCCTTCACTCAGCTATTAAGCAAATATTTACCCAGTGTGCATATTTTTAAACCACCACAAAATAACCCTGACCCAGGTTGTGTCTGTCTGGCTGTAATCACGTCTCCTTTTCATGCAGCTTCAGAACCCAATCTGAAATTACGGTCCCGGCTAAAGCAGAAAGTGGCTGAGAGACGGAGCAGCCCTCTGTTGCGCAGGAAAGATGGGCCTGTGGTCACTGCTCTAAAAAAGCGTCCCTTGGAAGTCACAGGTATGTTAGAAGAGAGTTTAAACCCCACTGCCTGCCCACCAATCCAGCACCACCTTCTCCATGAGGCTCTTTCTTTAGCACCTCTGAGGCTGAAGCCCACCCTGCACACCTGTCCCTGCTCCGGCATTAGTCACTAGGCACAGGGAGCACAACAAAGCTAACAGGGCAAGAGAGGTCTGCAGGAATTCAGATTGAGGTTACTCTGAAGGTGGGGTTTTAACTCATCCTGCCCTGTTAGTGGGGAGTCACACGTGTCTGACCTGCTCCAATGCTAGAACCACTAGAGCATCAAAATGGTTCAGCAAGGGGCCAGCAGGTAGGCAGAAGAGAAATGGGGAGCTCCAGGTCTCCACTTTCTCGTAATGAGTGCATTGCTCTTGGATCCCACCTAGTGGTGGAGACGCAGAATACACCCACTGGGCAGAGACCCTTTCCAAGTGCCCATCCCTTCACAGGGATGTACCCCAGGTCCCCTGGTGCACCCCAGTCCTCAGGAGCACCCCCTTACAAGAGTGAATCCCCTATCCAAGATATACCCCACCTCGAGGTACACCCCTGACCCAAGGCACACCCCTCATCCTGAGGGCACACCCCGCTTCCTGGGGGTGCACCATGTCATGAGGGCGCACGTCCACATTCCTGAAAGCACAGGATAAAGAAGTTGCTTAGAGGTACCTGGAAATGGGGGGGGGGGGGGCGGCATTTGCACCAAGTACAGTGTTGGATTGAAAACCAAGGCTCTTGGGACCAGGAGGGCGCCTTCGGCGTTGGTCCTCCCTATGTGAGTGGCCACATCTCACACTCTGAGTCCCAATACCTTCAGGATGAGATAAGTACCTGGAGCCCTGCCCCGCTGCTCTTGAGGTTCCTCAGCCCAGGGGAAACCCAGCCTAGAGCCTACCTCCACATATTTGTGGATTAGTGTAAAAGAATCTGGGGAGCCATTTTTGTCTTTGTCTTCCTTTTTCAATGTGGGGTCTTTCTTCTAGTTGTTCTAGTGTAGAGGCCTCATTTAAAGAAATGAAGAAACGTTGTCTGAAGTCCCTCTTGGTTTCACCAGCTTGACACTTCTGTGTGAATTAGAGAATCCCGTTATGTTAAAGCACTTGTGTGCCCACGGACACAGCCTGGTTTCCTCTGAGCAGCACCTTGGTCAGGGCCAGCTCTAAGGCCAGCGTTTATTTCTAGCCACACTGTTGGGGAGATGGAACTGTCCCCGGGCTTCTTTCTGAGCATTAGAGTGAATGTCATGTCAGCCCTGACTGCTGATGCTACTGTGAGTCAGGACCTGGCTGGTCACAAAAACGACTCAGCTCCTCGCTGCCCAGGAGCTTTCGATCTAATTCAAGAGACTAGTCACTAGACCATCACTCTGAGACAAGTAGCAGACTGGGCGTGCAACTCCTGATTGACACTGAGTGTGTTTCATAGAAAAAGCACCCAAAGGAACCTGGGCCAGGACGTGAGGGACGCTGCACAGGCCAGAAAAAGCTTGAGGGACAGGTGCAGGTGTCCTAGGCAGCACGGCCCTAGTGGCTAGAGGGGCCCATGCTCTGAGCAGAGCTGACTTCCCAGCAGACGGGACCTGGTGGTGGCCATGGTCATAGGTTGGGGCAGAGAAAGCAAGTTCTGTGTTCATGGCCGCTCCCCTGGAACTCAGAAGGCCAGCTGGACAGAACACCTTCCTCTCCTCTGTCACAGCAGCAGCGAATGGAGCCCTCTCCCCACGAGCAGCGTGCAGCCACTGTACCTTCACAGTTACTCATACAAGCTGTAGTGTGTTTCCACATAACCCAGATCAGTCACAGAAACTACAAGCTCTACTTTCCCTGGACCTCGATGTAACTCAGGAAGGATGAGAGGATGTGTTCAAAGTGGACACTAATGGTGCATGGCTTTCCTAGTGACCACAAGTAACCTTTCCCTGCTCTCAGTCATTGGGCTTGTGTGTTTCCTGGCCTTTTGTTTAGAATATTAGTTAGTGTCCAAGGGCTTGTTTTACTGGTCTTTAAGATCATCTGAAAACGCAAAAGAGAAATAAAATTGATAATGTGTACAGCTCAAAAGTCTCAGCTGTGGCGTCCACAGAACTGAAAGGTTAACAAAGCTAAAAATGGGGAGTGGGCTGCACAGTGCTGTTTGGGGACCCTGGTCATGTTCTCTCCTGCTGGAGTTTGTCCACAAGCTGGTGAGCAGCAGCTCAGGCCCCAGTCAATAGGTGAGTCCCATGACTTTCCTGGGACTTGAGCCAAGTATGGCTGACGGCATGTCTTTCCACTACAGACTCTGCATGCAGCAGTGCCCCCGGCTCCGCACCCAGCTCGCCCAACAACAGCTCCGGGAGCATCAGCACGGAGAATGGGATCGCACCCGCCGTCCCCAGCATCCCAGCCGAGGTCAGTGTCCCGCTTTCTGTTTGTTTCCTGCCGGCCCTGAGGCAGGTTCAAAGAGCTGATTTGCTTGAGGTGACTGCATCTTACAGTTGTCCTTCAGACTTGACTGTCCAGGTCGTGGTGAGGGAAACTGAGGAGCGAGGCAGCCTGCAGAGCACTGGTGTGGACTTCATTGTCTGCCACTCATCACTCGACCTCCTTTACATAGGACTCAGGAGTTCCCAATACGAGAGTCATGGTCAAAGAACATTTCCACACCCCCTTTCCTCCTGGGCTCTTCAGAACACATTAGATCCATCCTCCTCATGAACCACATGCCAATGGTGCCAGCTGCCCGTAACCTCATGGCACAGGGCTCTGTGTGCTGGTTGGGAACAGGAGCCCATTGGAATCCTGGCTGGATGGGAATGAAAAAATTTGTGGCTCTAGCCCAGCCGTGGGCAAACTATGGCCCGCGGGCCGGATCCGGCCCGTTTGAAATGAATAAAACTAAAAAAAAAAAGATCGTACCCTTTTATGTAATGATGTTTACTTTGAATTTATATTAGTTCACACAAACACTCCATCCATGCTTTTGTTCCGGCCCTCTGGTCCAGTTTAAGAACCCATTGTGGCCCTCGAGTCAAAAAGTTTGCCCACCCCTGCTCTAGCCAGTTTGGCTCAGTGGATAGAGCATCAACCTGCAGACTGAAGAGTCCCAGGTTTAATTCCGGTCAAGGGCACATACCTTGGTTGCAGGCTTAATCTCCGGTCCTGGTCGGGATGGACGCGGAAGGCAACCAGTCGATGAATCTCTCTCACATCGATGTTTCCTCTATCTCTCTCTTCCCCCCCCTTACACTCTCTCTAAAAATCACTCTAAAAATCAATGGAAAAATATCCTCGGGTGAATATTAACAACAACAAAAATACTTGTTGTGTATTGAGAGATACACAGCTCAAAATGTTGGCCAACAAGGCACATGTACTTGTGTCAGGAACGCTGGAGCCACACTGGGAGGTGGTTAGGGTGTCAGTTAGCATCACGGATTGGGTACAGAGAGGGTTCTGGAATCACTTAGAGGGAACATCAGATGCAGAGGTTGATGGAGAGGGAAGAAGGGCCTCCTAGGAGAAGAGGTGGATGGCTTCTTCAGCCAGGTGGAGGGCCCCAGGGCCAGCTTCAGGTCATGCCGTTCCCTTGACCAGACCTGAGTCGAGTGACTTTCCAGCAGTAGGTTCCAGGACCTCCACTCTTACATTCATTTCCCTCCATTTATCCCCCAAGTGTCTCTGGAGCGCCTATCTTGCCCCAGCCCTGTGCAGGCTCGGGACCTAGGGCGAGGGTCCAGCCAAGGGCCTGCTTCTCCCCGGCTCCTCATGCTGGTGGGGAGAGGGAGTCGAGCGGTCCAGTCTTGAGCAGAGAACTTTGCACTTGCTGAGTGGGGATGTGGGCGGGGATCCATGTGGGGAACCTCCTCGGCATTGAGTGTCTGGCAAACTGAGCCAGAAACACCGTCTGCTTGGTGCCCAGACAGCTCTACTGAGTGGGTTCTGTGTTCTCTGTTCTAACTGACAGGAGGCCATACTTTATTAGACATAGCTTTTTACTTTCCTCCTTAAATAGAAACGAATCCAGCCCTTCCAAAGGGCTGACAGAGTTCTAGACACTATTGATAAGCAGATTTTTGGAAACTAAGATTACTGTTTAATTTGCTTAATCCCCATTTTCTCATCTTTTTCTTTTATACATCTCCTTTTATGACCTTTTCTTTTCAACCTACCTGTTTAAGTGCTTATTTAGATTATAGAACGTTTTGACAGTCCTCCTGGGTGTTCAGGTCATAGCTCAGTGTGGCCTGAAGTTGCGTAGAGCTCAGCCTAGAAATTGCTTCCGGAATAAGATGTCAGGATCATCATGTGGGCAATAGCGGTATGTACCTAATGCTTCATCTTGTAGGGATGCCTTATTTGGGTGAGTTTACATGGTTCTGGTTTAAAGTATGTGTTAATTTTTCCAAGTCACACGTTAATGTAAATTAAGCTAGTGCAAATTAATAGAAGATGTAGGAGGGTTCACAAGAAATGTTAAGAGGATTGGCAGGGTAGTCTTAGAAAATGTGAGGGTATGTAGGTGTCCTTTTTGAGGACTGGACAGTTCCCTGAGAGGCACAGAGGCTTCCCAGTCCAGAGGCTGTGTAGGATCCTTGTGTGGGAGGGAGGCAAGGGACCCCTGGACGGCGTGGAGCTCAGCCTCACTATACCCTGTCCCCCTTTATACAGAGGATGCAGGGCTCCCTGTGTCACAGACAGCGGCTCCGTCCAGTTCAGAAGGCTAGATGTGATTGAGGCACGCCTGTGACTAGGGTGTGCCCATGATTGGGGTGTGGCTGGCAGGGTGGTGCCACAGGCACTCTGACCCCAACCCTAGACGTATGCAGAACTGAGAAGCTGACAGAGACATTGACACTGAAAATGCGGGCAAGTCAGCCTACCAAGTAATTCTGAGGCAGCTTTATTTCTAAAAATAACTTAGGTTAAAAAAAATAGCCTTGGTTATAAAGAGGAAGTTACAACCTTGGAAACAATAGAACATCTCTTCGTTCTTGGAGAATCTCAGTTCAGTGGAACCATGGTTTCCTTGGCAGTCGCAATCATGTTCCCTAAAACATAGCTTGTTAGTATTTTACTTCTAACAAAATTGCTTTGTGTGGGAAGAGTGCTTTCACAGTCGTCCTTTCATCATTACTGTACCATTGACTACATGAGTGACTACAGGTAGCTGTACAGGTAGCTGCAGCCAGTCTCCGGAACAAGACGTGCTGTTTCCTTCCTCGTGAGTAAAGCCGTTCCATCCTGTTCTGCCTTTAGCACAGAAACTAAGTGTATGTTTCTTGATGACATCAAAATATGACACCATCAACATAGCCACCTGGGGAATCTGCAAGGCAGAGATGTTCACTCTGAGAGTGGGCACTTGTCCCTGCAGGCTGGCAGGGCTGCAGACAGTGACCACTATCTGTAGTAACGTGTAACAGCTTTCAGTCCACAGCTTTTCCCCTGGAAGTGAAATGGTTCTCATCCTTGATTATGTTGTTCACTGTGGGAAGGATGGGAGGAAGTCAGGATGTTCATTCCTCACGTTATTTTTCATCTTGCAGACTTCTGCCACCCCCACCTTCGTGCCCCATGGCAAAGTCACCTATTGGTGGTTTGCTCATTGGCTCAGCGCACATTTGCTGTGCAGGGATGTGCTGGTGAATATGTTTTTTATCAAAGAAGGTTTATTCTAGAAGCAGAAGATGTTAAATATCTCAGTACTTCAACTCCTTGCAGACTGCTCACTGCTCACCCTTTTCTGACTGCCCTTCTAGTCCTCACTTTTGCTGTACACTTAAAATAGTCCAAGTCTTCTTTTTAAAAAGTGTAAGATTTTGTAACTTGTTTTTCTAACTTAACATCACATCACGAACAAGATTCCAAGTAACTGCAAGCCTCTGCCAAACTGGTGCCCCATGTGTAAACGAGCCTGCTTTTGATTTGTGAGCTCTCTATATATTAACCTTTGTCCTGTACTTTGCTACTATTGTCATCACCATTTTTTCCCTTTCATGTGAGGGTTTTTTTTCATCTTTAGTTCCCTCTTTGGTTTCTGCCTCTGATGTTATGTTTAGAAAAACATTCCCAACTCTAAGAATATATTTTAAAATACATTTTCCTAGGTTTTCTTCTTGTAGTTTTGCCATGAGTAAGCAATTTGAATAAAAATGAGAATTTGGTGGATCATGAATCTATGTTTTTATGCTTGCCGCCTGCTCTGAAATGTTACACTCACCTACATGCTCTAATCTGTTAATTCATCTTTATATTCTGGGCATGATCTGCCCAGAAGTGTTTTCTGTTGTCCTTCCCCTTGGTGTGGTTGCCCACACTTGGCCAGAGCAGACTCTGTGTGATGGTCGTCCTGTGTTCTGTCCCCAGACCAGCTTGGCACACAGACTGGTGACTCGGGAAGGCTCCGTGGCCCCACTTCCCCTCTACACATCGCCATCCTTGCCCAACATCACACTGGGACTTCCTGCCACCGGCCCTTCTGCTGTAAGTAGGCTTCCGAGGGTCTGTGTGGTGCGGGGCAGCTGTCACAGGCGTGTAGCCTAGACGTTACCAGTTGTGCCTCTCCAGGGGGCGGCAGGCCAGCAGGAAGCCGAGAGACTGGCTCTCCCAGCCCTGCAACAGCGGCTCTCCCTCTTTCCTGGCACCCACCTCACGCCCTACCTGAGCACGGCGCCCCTGGAGCGGGACGGCGGGGCAGCTCACAACCCTCTCCTGCAGCACATGGTCTTACTGGAGCAGCCACCCACACAGACGCCCCTCGTCACAGGTGAGCGCTCTGCATGGCATCAGGCCTTGCCAGCTCACAGAACCGGCAAGGAGGCCTGTTCCACCCTGTGTTTCCCTCACTTCCCCCACGTCCGCGCATGTGACATGATGCTCCATGTCTCCCTCACAGAACTGGGTGGACGACATGCCAATTACAGGTCCTGCCCTCTCAAGAGGAGGTTGAGGCTCTTCTGGTTTGCGTCTTCCTCTGGGTCAAGCTAAGCAAGTGGCAGAAACACAGACCTGACTTGGGAGGACAGTCAATTTCTATCAGCAGTAAATTTTTATTAAAACGGTGCCCCATCTAAAGGACAGTTGTATTTAGGAAAAAGTGGGAAATCTGTGATGGAGTCTTCATAGCAGTGATGGTGTACAGAGTCACTAAGGATTGCCAGACGTGTGGGGGCTGCGGTCACCCGTCCTCATCTGGAAACCGTCCTCAGTTTCATTTCTGCCTTCTCGAATCTCTCTCTCTGTTCAGAAGTAAAATCTACAGCAACATTAGAGCTTCACCTCCAAATCTCTGACCCCCAACCTCAGTGGGAAATGCAGGTACCTGCAGGCCTCAGAGTCCAAATGTGGCGCACACGGGTCCAGACGGGGGTTTGGTTTGGTTTTCCTGTTTTATGCTTGTTTGTCCCTCTCGAGCACTTGGTTCCTTAGAGTCACTGGCTGGTCTGGGCTTGGGTCGTGTCCTTCCAGGACCCCTGGGCCCTGTGGGATGACGCCTCCTGACTGCTTTCCTGCCTTTCCATCCTGTCCTCTAGCTGCCACCAGGTTTCCATCAGGGCCTGGGAAGTCCCCCCGTTGTGCAGCACAGTGCTGTCCAGTGCAGGAGCACTGGCCACATGTGGCTATTAACACTGAAATTGAAAGTTAAAAGCACTCAGTCACCTGTGAGGCATAGCGAATATTCCTATGGCTACTGGTGCAGGGCAACCTGGACCATTTCCATGGCACAGAAAGCTCTGGGCGGCTGGCTGCAGTGAGACCCCAGCTCTGAGCTGGAGATACGCTGTGTCAAGCCTCTGGGCCTCTTCCTCCCACGCAGCTCATCAACTAGCCAGTTTTACTCCTCGCTGACTGGCCTGCAGGGTGATTCTGGAAGCCCTGTCCTTTTCCCAAAACCCCTTTTTCCATGAGGCCAGCTCCTGTGCCCCTGTCCTGCTCCCATGTGCTCATTCTATGTCAGCTTCCATGGACACTGTGTCTGTCCTGCCTCCTTCCTGGAGCCCAGACCTTGCATTTTCCTACAGCTCTGCCATCCTCTCTCTCCCGGCACCCACACAGTCTGCAATGCCTAGTAGATAGCATAGGCGTAGTAAATATCCCTGTGACTGAGCCCAGTGAGAGCCATGGTGTCTGAGGTGGCTGTGTCTGAGCAGGACCCAGGAGTTCTCACTGCAAGTTTCCTATGTCAGTGTATGAGTCCCCCCAAGTGGACGGCCCACAGACCTATCTGCTTCCTATGATCTCGTTGGACAGACTGACCAAGTTATACCAGCTCCACACACAAGTGCTCTGGAAACAGGCCCGTGTGGGAGGAGTGGCTGGCCGGGTCAGAGAGCAAGCAAGGTGGAGGGTCTCGGGCACTGTGTCCCCTTCCCCGCAGGCCGTATGGCTCGTATGTTTTCAATTATTAGGCACTCTGCACACAATGTCATTACTCTTGGAAAGAGCAAAGTCCCAGTATTCCCAGAGGCTGAGTTTGAGCAGCTAGCCAGGGCAGCGCATAGAAATCGGGTTCATTTCCAGGTGAGAAGGAAACTATTTGCAGAGTCCTGGCTTGTTTCTGCAGCTCCACACAGAACCGTGGGCACTGCCTGGTCTGGCCACCCAGCTGAGCACAGTGACCGAGTGGCCGGCGAACCAAACCTTCAGACCAGTGTGTCCTACTGGCCAGGCCCTGGGAGATGGGCCCCAGAGCTTGGTAGTTGGGTGTGTGCAGGAGGCTGGGTGCTGAGGCAGGTGAGCTTCAGGGAAGGCTTTCTGGAAATGAGCATCGTTGCTTAAGACCTGAGGTGGGACTCGGCAGGTGAATAGGTGGGAAGAAGGCCCAGTAGAGGAGCAGGTGTGGGTACCTGGTGGGTTATTCTAGCCTTCTGGTCACTCACAGGGCAGCAGGAGCTGGTGTGCTCAGTTCATTTACCATTTCTCCCAGTCGGACATCCTTGACCCAGGGTCATTTTCAGCCTGAGCAATGTTTAGTGTTTGTTTACCTCAGGTTGCCAGGGGGACATACCCAGGTTGCAGGGGAAGGGGTTTGTTAGAACTTTTTGCCCATAGAACCTTGGAAAAATGGTCAATGACCTAAACAACAATTTGCAAAAGAAAGACCAGATGGAGGAAAAGCCTACAGAAGGAAAAATATTAAACTTCCTGGTTCACAAGAGAGGTTCCAATTTAAACTGAGATTCAAGTGCAGACACAGCCAGATGTGTCCTGTCAGCTCAGACTCTGGATCTGAACACTTAGCTCAGGTGCAGATGTGGGCGCAGCACCCTCCTGTGCAGCCAGTGGGCCTGGGCGTTGGCAAATCCTTGTAGAAATTTGTAGAAAGAGGTTTTGACCATATCCATCAGGATTGTAAGTGTTAATGCCCCCTTTGTGCATGAAATCAGTGCTTTAAGAGACCCTTAAAAGAACTTGACCCCTGAGGACAGTTTATTTCTCTCACACTTAGTTTCTGTGACAGGGAAGGGCTACTATGGCCTTCCTCAGCTCAGCATGTGGTACTCTTATTGTCCACAGTGCTCTTCAGATCAGAACCTTCTGAGGGGGTGTTCGTACCTGTGAATCTGCCTCTCTGGCAGGGCAAGCTGTTCTGAAGCCTGTTGCACAGAACGCCTGTTGATGGCATTAACCTGGGTGTCAGAGACAGTACCCTCCAAGTGACAGCTCAGGATGCTCGGTGTATGCCTGGAGTCACACCCGCTGGGCTCCAGGGAGGAGGCGCCTGGGCTGGCGGCTGCAGCTCATGGTGTCTCTGTCATTCACTCAACAGCTCTCTCCCCTCCTCTCTTCTTCCTCTTCCCCTCTGCTATTTTCCTCCATGTTATCTTCAGACTGGTATCTTTCAGGCCTGGGCGCCCTGCCCCTGCACACACAGTCTCTGGTTGGCGCAGACCGGGTGTCCCCCTCCATCCACAAGCTGAGGCAGCACCGCCCACTGGGGCGCACGCAGTCGGCACCGCTGCCCCAAAACGCCCAGGCCCTGCAGCACCTGGTCATCCAGCAGCAGCACCAGCAGTTTCTGGAGAAACACAAGCAACAGTTTCAGCAGCAGCAGCTGCATATGAACAAGGTGGGTCTGTGCTGTGCGCTCCACGGCCTCACGTCTGTTAGCTCTTTCCTCAGCTTTGCCATCTGGCAGCTGCCCCCTTCTGACCTTGAACGGCTGAGGGCCACAGGAGAAATAGTGGATCTCAGGCTTCCCCACGCTCGGCAAGGACGGGCTTGTGTGCAGCTGGAACTTGGGGGAGTTACCCGTGCGGGGGGATGACTGGAGTGGGCAGGGCCAGTTCCCGAGTCCCTGGTCAGTGTTATGTATGTGAAGTGTTCACATCACTGCGTGGTAAATTCCACTCAGCCAACACTTTTTTCTTTTTAAATATGTTTTTATTGATTTCAGAGAGGAAGGGAGAAAGAAAGAAATCGAAACATCAATGATGAGAGAATTATTGATTTGGCTGCCTCCTGCACTCCCCACAGGAGGATCGAGCCTACAACCTGGGCATATGCCCTGATAGGGAATTGAACCGTGACCTTCTAGTCCATAGATTGATGCTCAACCACTTAGCCATGCCAGCCAGGCAAGACTTTTTTCTCAAGCATATTTATCTTTAAGCAAACACAAAACAGGAAGTCCCCAACTTTACAGTGGCCTGAAGTCCCCAGAAGCACATGTCCGGATGACTCTACCCTTGCAGTATACTTGTCCATTGGAATAACATCCTCTAGAGGGCTACATCCGGGCCAGCTCACAGAGGCCTGCACACCTGCACAGTCCCTAGAGTTACGGTGACACCACTCTCAGCAGGAAGTGGTGGGAAAGGGTGGTGTTGCTCTCTAGTGAGTAAAATAGGAAAAGAGCAACTTCGAGTAACGTTTTTCAAATACCAACATTTGAAAGAAAGCATCTTTTAATAGTAAAGAATGAGATGAACCTGTGGAAGACAGTCCAGCATTTCCTCAAAAGGTTAACAGAATTACCATGGGACCCAGCAGGCCGACTGCTAGGCCTGTACCCAAGAGAGTTGACAACATAGGTCTAAACAAGGGCTTGCACACCAACAGCAGGACAGCCCAGATGACAGTCAAACAGAATGGGCACAGACAGGCCATGGTGTATCACTCAGCCCTGAAAACATGGTGCTGAGTGAGAGAAGCCAGACAGAAAAGCCCACACGTATGATTCGATGTGGGTAGAACATCAGACGGGCAGGCAGTTTGGTGATCGATGGGCACCCTAGGCGGGGTGGGGAGTGGCAGGGGCATGACTGCCAGTGGGAATGGCGTTTCTTTCTGAGGTGATTGAAAGTGTTCTGAGTTAGAGACGTGATGGTTGCACAACTCTGTTAATAGACAAATGACTAGTGACTTACACAGTTTGAAAGTGTGAACTCTGGTACGTGAGTTACCTCTCAAAGCTGCTAAGAAAGAAGTGGATGAGGTAAGAGAAGGCAGCTTTGGTGTTTTCTGAGGGGAACTAGCAGATTTGGGGATGAACAGACTTGATTCTCAACGTTTCTCTTTCCTGAGAAAGCTCATCTGGTCTCGTTCCCTCTTTCAGAGAGACCTCAGTCATTGATCCTCTACCCGTTACACACAGTTAGACTCTTGTCTCTGCCTCCCTGAGGAATGAAAGGGTGGAGGGGGAGAGAGGGATCAGGAACAAGACCTGGAAGGGTCCACACGAGTGTGAAGATGGAGCAAGAGGAGAGAAGACCACCTCTCCGGGGCTGAGGCGCTAAGTACAGCTAGCCCTGCTCCTCTGTCTGCCAGCATTCCCAGCCCAGTTGGGTTTTGGGCACGGAGACTAATCTTCAAAGAAGAAGCATCTTCCCACTCCACGCTCCCTAGGTTTGCTCCTCTGAGTCTTGGCCTGAACATCACTCATGAGTCCCCCACCTCAGTTAGAACTGCCTCCCAGCCCCATCCTGTTACCTTGCTCACCCTCCCGTCTGCAGTGACTACACCCATTTCTCACGTCTCATATTCCTATCTGTGTTCCCTGGTGGCATGTCAGCCCACAAGGATGCGGTCTGTGTACCCTGGTCGACCCAGGTACCTGGCACGGTGCCTGCCAAGAGCGGGTGCTGGTGTGGTTTTGTCAAGAGTGTTGCTTGTTGAAATGCCATCATGTCTTTTGGGGCTGCTCCTCCGCTGAGTCCGGCTCAGCCCCCACAGGGTTCACAGGTGGAGGTGGCGGCCACATAGCCCCAGTCCACCCCAGTGTGTTTGCCCTGACAGGGCTGAGGGACGTTCACTCCTAAATGGCCAGCTGCCCAGGGCAGCCCAGCCCAGACCCCTCTACCCACCAGACACTAGGGAATAGGCTCCCACCCCACCCACAGAGCCCCCACCCCACAGGCTCTCCCAGCCAGGCTGGACAAAGCAGTCAGCAGTGGGCAGGCCCTGAGCCCGGCCCTGATTGGACAGGAAAGGGACTCCTCACTGTGTGGGAACTTGACATTTCTCCACCTGATGCCAGTTTGGCTTCTTGGTTTTGTTATGTCATTATCTGAGTGGCAGGTTAGGAGGCTTTGAAGACAGGAAACACCTATTCATAGGTGATATGTTCCTGAACAGAGCGACTTGGAAGCTGGGTAATCTCCCTGATTCTGCTACATGACTGACTGACTGACGGTGGGAACGACAGGTGACTGACATGTTTATACACTGTTCTCCCGGAGCTCAGGGAGCCAAGCTCATATCTGGTACCGTCTGGTGCTGATGTCTCTGCCCTTTGTCTTGGAGCAGGCTGTTCCTAGGCCTCATTACCTGAGGGCACTAGAGCCCAGAGCCTGGCAGGGCTCCCTCCCTGCAGCCCTGTGCCCTGTGCATGGGGGTGGTGACCTTCCATGCATGGTCTGCTGTCATTCAGCCTCAGTGGGCAGCCTCTTCAAGGAGAGAGAACAAATGGCAACTTGGAGAGAGATCAGCCCTTGGAGAGAGATCAGCCCTTCCCAGTTGCTGCACTTTCAGCAGCCCAACGGGGCTGCTGTGGTTTCCAGAGAATGGCCCATTGGCTAAGAAAGCCTAGGAGGCAGGAAAGATGGACCTAGGAGCTGGCTGGGTTCACTGGGGCGATGACCACTACTCTCCAGCAGTATGTGGGCCTCCCTGTGGGTGCCCAGCGCTCCTATCCAGTGGTGTGTCGGCCTCATTGTGGATGCCCGTGGCCTTGCACGCAGTGTGTTTAATAAAGTTTGCTGGGTGAAGGGACTTTTAGGAGAATGCTTGCCATCAAAGGGAGTGGGGCTTCCAGCTCTGGAGCTGAAGTGAAGCCAGTCTTGTGTGTCTGGGAGCGTCTGAGAATGGCCTCAGGTGTGGTCTGTGTAAGGTGAGCAGTGTGTACAGGGGCAGAAATGCCTTTTCTCTGTTAGAAGAGAATTCTTAAGGCACCTTGACAACTGGAGAAGCTGGCTTTGCTGTGACAGCAGTTTCGTCTGTGGTTGCTGAATTCCACATGAGCCCAAGGGGAACTAGCAGAGCTGGGTTGGATGCATTTTCCTTTCATCTGACCTTCCCAATATTGAATATGAAAACTGGGTCTCGTTTATTTGTGTGGTCTAATTATGAGTATGGCCAGTAGTCTTTAAAAATGGGCTGCTTACCAGTTGGCTTTGGCTCTGAACTCATCTGGCTTTTAGAAAATGTGTTGCTCTAATTTGGAGTTGCATTTGTTCTCTTATAATTGATAAATGAGGGCTCCTAAGGTCCAAAGGCCACTAGGAGACAGAGAGCTGACTTGTTTGTCCAGTTTGCTGCCGATCCTCTGCCAGTGTTTCCTCCAGCATGTTTGCCTGCCACTGCCCCTCCTGCTGCTGGCTCTGCCGTATGGCCCGGCCAGTGGGAAGCAGAGCTGCATGTCAGTGACGGGGGGGGCAGACAGTGACCTCGGCCCAAGGAGGCTGGCCGCACAAGCTCCTGCATCACTGCTGAGCGGAGACCCTCGCAGTCCTGTGACACCTCTGCATCACAGGGAGGCTTCTGATGCAGTCCACGTGCCACTGCCCTGGCGACATCCCTCCTAGGCACCCTCAGTCCTCAGGCCAAACTCGGGACGTGAAGTGAGCTCCAGGGAGCTGGGCTGTCATGGAAGCTCTGAATGTCCTAACTCCTCTGGAGGGCCTGGCAGGCTCTGCTTGGATGCCTCATTTCCCAAGGAAGCTGAGAGGATGGCAGAGGAAGCCCTGGACGTCTGCTATGAGCAGGCTGCTTTGTGTCCCCTCTGCCTGGCTTCTCCAAGAAGAGCTGCCGCTGGGCCTTTGCCATCTCCCAGCTCCTTTCTCCTCCCCTTCGATGACCCAGAGCTGCCACCCATCCACCTGCCAGGCCTGGGGCGATGGGGGAAGGGGTGTGCCCTCAGAGGCTCCGTAAGAGTGAAGCTGCAGGAGGAAGGAAGAGACTCCACAGAGCCCATCACCTGGAAAGGTGCCCAGGACATTCACTGGAACCGGTGAGACTAAACATTCAGCCCAAAAGCAGCATGTGACAGAGGATGGAGTGCGGCCCACAGAAGGCACACTGACCACAGCTGGAAGCCCACCTGCCCCACAGGGAGTCTGCCCAACTATGTCAGCACCTGCCCCAGATACCAGAGGGGATGATCCCTTACCACATCCAGGGGCCCTTTACAGACACTGGTTGAATGCTTCAGACATGGCAACTTCGGACAGGTCACCTAAACATACACGTGATCTGTAGCTGGACCCGATTTGGACCAGGAAAGGCCATAAGTGACATTACCAGACAACTGAGGGAACTTGAATATTTGTGTGGTCTACAGCACAGCTGACAGTCACTAAGTCTATCAGTGAGACTCCCAAGTGGGTGATTCCCAGGGTTCTGTAGAGGATGGCTGACACATTTGCTGGATTGCGTCTCGTGGCCACTGGTAGTCCTCAAGTAGGTCAGCAGAGGAGAGGTTGACCTCTGCCTCATCCCTGTGTCCTTCCATCTATAGGAGAAGGGCGTATGGGATTTCTTAACAATTTTTGAAAGTTTTCTCTAGTTTTGAAATTTAGAAGAAAACGTTGGAAGAAAGTCAGGATTAGAGTATCCTGTCCTCTGAGTACATGTTCCCATGGCCACTCTCCTAACTCTTCAGTATTAATGCTCTGTTTTCTCAAATAGCTTCCTCAGGCAAGCACTGGGGCCCTGGCTGGGCCCTCCATTCCTCATTTACTTTTCCCTGGCCTCCCTCAGGGAGGGACCAGAGCTCTGTGTCTGCAGAAACACCTCACTTCAGAGCTGGGCTTCCCGAATGGCCTAGAATTGGCCCTGGGTTACTCTAGCATCCAAATTACCTCCCTTTGGGGTCATCCTCGGGTCACCCTGAGGTGGCCACAGCCTCCTGTTTCCCCCACACCTGCTCCTACTTGGTGCAGATGCTTCCCACAGCCATCTTCATTGAGCTTGTGGAAGGGCACCTCGGAGCAGGTGGCCTATATGCCTCCTCGTAACATCCCAGAGCTGACTCTGAGCCTGCAGGTAGTCGGGACCCTCTAGTCCTCCTCCCCAAGGCAGCGGACGGGCGGACCCCTCTTCCTCTCCTGGCCTCTGGCCTGTTCTCTGTGTTTCCCTTTGTGTGTGTGGCTTCTCTGTCCTCAGTCAAGTCTCTATGAGCCTTGCATGAGCTTCTGCATTTCAACTTCCTGACTGCTCGGTTCTTCCTGACAGCCATCTCCAGTCCTGAGCTGGCTCCTAAACCCTGACTTGGATCCTCTTCTCATGTGGCATTTGAATTTCAGCCTCTCTGAGCCGTTATACTCCCTGCCCTTCCCTCCTGGCCAGCTGCATCCTTCTAGGCAGTTGCCAGCCTCTGTCCATACCTGCACCAAGAGCCAGCCCTGCTGCAGCCTTCCACGCCTCTTTCTGGACCCAGCCCCTCATCTGGCCTTCCACCCCAGCCTGGCTGAGGCCCAAAGTGTCACTCCCAGTGCCCCATTCTCAGTTTGACTGTTAGGACCTACCTGTGGCACAGGCAGGGGTATGAACCCCCTTTAAGAAAACACAGCCTCTCATGCCTATGGTCTGGAGGTCAAAGTTCATGACATGGGAGCTTTTCAGGCCCGAGGGTGGGGAGCAGGAAGTGGGATGGGGCTGGGGGCTCTGGGGCCTGGTCAGCTGGCAGAGAAGCCCAGGAGGAGGAGGAGCAGATGCAGGTAACCGCCCTAGTGCCCTTTCAGGTCAGGACCTCAGTTACACTAGGATGGACACAGAAAAGGGATTTCTCAGACAGATGACTAACTGGGCTGAGGGTGGAAGAAGGCAGGCAATGTCCCTCTCAGAAGCTGTGACAGTGGAGGAGGCGACATTGTCCTCTTCCCTTCTCATCCAGGTGCAGAGGTGGGTTGACACCTCTGTCACTGTGTTCTCTTGCTTGGCACAAACACAGTTTCATAAACCAATTGCAGGTCTGCTTCCTTCCCTGCCTGGAGCCTTGATGTTACTTCTCAGCACCGTGGACAGCGCCCATGTTCTGCATAGGTGACCAGCCTGGTGCTAGCCTGGTGCCTGTTGGCCTTAACTCACCCCCCGAGTCCTCTATCCCTTTGTTTCTGAGATGAAGACTCTCTGATGCACCATTCCTTTCTGATGACCTCAGTCACCTTGGGTCACTCTGACTTTCCCTTCACCTCTGTAGATTATCCCCAAACCCAGCGAGCCAGCCCGGCAGCCTGAGAGCCACCCCGAGGAGACAGAGGAGGAGCTCCGTGAGCACCAGGCCCTCCTGGAGGAGCCCTACCTAGACCGGCTCTCTGGGCAGAAGGAGGCCCAGGAGCTGACTGGAGTGCAGGTGAAACAGGAGCCCTTGGAGAGTGACGACGAGGAGGCAGAGCCACCTCGGGAAGTGGAGCCCAGCCAGCGCCAGCCCACGGAGCAAGAGCTGCTCTTCAGACAGGTGACCACAAGGGCGGGGCGGGCAGGGTGAGAGAAGGTGCACAGGGAAGGGGAAAGTGGGCTGGAGCTGGGTGGTGCAGGAGGCAAGGGACAGTGGCCCACATTTCCAGTGGGCAGTGGAAACTGAAGGGCCTCTTCCTTCCACTCCCGCCAGGCCAGGTCTTCCCCCATCTCTCCCTAGTGGTGTGGGAGGTGGCTGAGGTTCTATGTCTGTTTACCTTAGCTGTATCTAGACATACTGGCCATTTGTCCACTGTGGGCATTTATGCACCTACTTTCCAGCCAGCGTTGGCCCAGACTCCCAAGGGATGGTTTTCTTTCAGATATATAAGCTGTGATAAACATAAAGCCAAGTGTTAGTAGGATTCAGCATAATCACTAAAGGTCCGGGGAGGGAGATTAATTTTTTAGTTGATCAAAAAGGTAGGCAGGGCCTTTGGGGCCTGAGGAGACAGCAGTGACCAGCCTTGCAGATCCAGAAAAGTAGTGCCAGCCAGGTGCCCAGAGCCAGTAAGGGTTCTGGGCACTGGCACACAATAACCAAACTCACAAGAGACTGGTGAATATATCTGATGAATGATTTATTAATTTACAGTAAAAATAAAACTGCCAAGTCAACAAACCACTAGGTCAGCCAGGCAGGCAGCAAGTCAGAACCTCGTGTTAAGAGGCCCAAGTGCCACCAAGGAAGTTGCTTACTCCTAATGAACTGCACGTGAGAGCCAAAGGGTGCTCTCGAAGTGGAGTTGGATCTTGTCCTCCAGCAACAGAGCTCTGTCCAGGGTGCAGGCCCTGGCTTGTCCCCTCCCCTCTCTCCGCTAGATATCCTAGCCATCCAGTTGTGCACCACTGATCTCTGACAGCCCAGGCATGTGGCCCTCTGCAGCTCCCGCACCTCCCCTAGCAGCACCAAGAAAGACGCCACCTGTGACACACAGGACCTTAGATTTCTCTAGAGGCCTCTGTGTGGGCGGGAGGCCACACCCTTCACCCCTTCTGGGTTTCATGGGGGGCCCTGCAGCTGGCTGCTTGTATAGTGCTTTTTCTGTTTCTCATTCAGAGGGGGACCATCTCAGGCCACGTTCTTAGCACCCAGGCACTAAGCCACTGCTCTGCAAAGTGCAGTGGAAATGGCACTTAATGAAAATATAGAGGTTCTAACCAAAGGAACCTTGTCTTCTGCTGTGCAGCTCCAGCAGTAGGAGTGCCTGGCTGGCTGTCCTGGCCAACAGGACCCCACGGGGCTTCATTCCCTCGTCTGTGTAGGTCTCGGAGTTATGAAGGAAGCAGATTTCTTATTATAACTGGAATTCATTGTGTTATTAGTACCGGATATGAGATTGGAAAGTACTTATGTAAATTTTTAGGGTAAATATCTTGTAGATGATAAAGCCATCAGCATTTATTTAGGAAAAATAGCCTTGTTGTACTCCAAGCCTGAGGCAGTCATTAAAAACACTAATTTTCTATGTTCTTTGGAGAATAATTAGCAGAGGTCCTCATCAGGGAAACTCAGTGGTGCAAGTAGCAATTTACAGATGTAAACGTGAGACACTATATCTGAGTTTTTGGAAAACCTGTACTGGGAAGAGGTCTGGTTGGTTGTAGGTGGCCGTGAAGCTGGGTGTGAATCCTTCAGGATCCAGGGGAGCCTCCTGTTCAGGTCCTCCCAGCATCTCAGGGCTCTTCCCTGCCCCCCAGCCTGCGGTGTGCCTGCCCCTCCCCCAGGGGCTGGGAAAACAGACCTTCCAGAATGACAAGATTTATACATGAAAACTAAGGCACGATTTGCGGAGGATTTGGCAGGCTCTGCTTTCTCTGGCACCTCAGCCTATAAAGTAGGATGTGGACCCATCCTTCCTTTGCTGTCCCAGGGTGGCCTGGATATCAGCAGCTCCTCGGGCAGGGCGGGGCTGGCCGCAAGGTCATCCCTGCCCTTCGCTCCCTGTGGCTCTACTATGCCTCCCACAGGACACACACCTCAGCCTGTCCACAGCGTCCCATCAGGGTCTGTCTCCCTCAGGCCCTGGCTGAGTGGCCCCATGCTCCACAGACCTAGCACTTCACCTGCACTGCAGCCCTGGGTTGGAGCCCCTCTGTCCCAGCAGCCTCCACAGCCCCTTCCAGAGTCCTCCTTTATATCTCCACTGGCCAGCAGTACAGAGGGGGAGAGAGGTCAGAGACCTGCTGGCTTTTAGGCTTTAGATCCTGGTCGCATTTGTGCTCTTACAGAAGCCATTCTTCACACAGAAACAGGATTTTTTTTGGGGGGTGGAGTGGGGTGGGGGAGGACTTTTCATGGATGTATGTGTTTAATTCACCCCTTTCTACTCTGTTTTTTTGTTTTTTTGTTTTTTCCTGAAAGATGGCTATCAGTCCTGGGATTATTCATGTAGGTCCCTACCTCCTCAGAGGCACAGCCACACCCTCCCGGCCCTGTCACCCCAGCTGCTTGGGCCCTGGGTGTCAGGAACCTGATTGCTCACATCTTCCTTGCTTCAGCAGTCATTCCTGTCATCAAGTGAGGGCATGAGACAGTGAGGGGCCAGGACAGGGAGACGGTGGCAAATGAAGTAGAATTAGCATTTCTCTTCTGCAGTGGGCTTTTCTGCCCAGGTTTCTGACATGCAGAGCAAGTGCTCTTGGTCAAAACCAAGACAACAGAGTCGACCAGGAGGGCTGCCTGCAGGCTGCTGGGGCATCTGGTGGCCATCCTCAGTGTCCATCCAGGTGCCACCGTGCATGGCACAATGGTGAGCGGGTGGAGGGGAGGCGGGCAGAGGGATGAATGATACATGAGAAAAGGACATGCAGAGCCCTTAGGGGTGTAAGGTTTCTTTGAAGCAACAAAACGTGTTTCCCCGTAGCAAGCGCTCCTGCTGGAACAGCAGCGGATCCACCAGCTGAGGAACTACCAGGCCTCCATGGAGGCCGCTGGCATCCCTGTGTCCTTCGGCGGCCACCGGCCTCTGTCCCGGGCACAGTCCTCCCCAGCGTCTGCCACCTTCCCCATGTCTGTGCAGGAGCCCCCCAGCAAACCGAGGTTCACCACAGGTAACATGAGCAGGGAGGGCTGGGGTGGGGGTGGTGTTGGGCCTTGGACTGCCTGGCAGGGCAGCCGGGATTTGACAGACGTCTGTCTGGGAGGTGTGCTTTGGGGTGAGGTGTCAGGCCAGGTGCGGTGTCAGGGACAGGCCACTTCTAGGGCTGGAGGGCTGGGCAGCCTCACACCTGACCCAACCTCCTTCCCTGGGTGGGGGGTGTCAGATGGATGGCTCACTGAGGCTCCCTTCCCCTGCCCTCCATCTATGATCCTGGGGGCTTTCTCCTGGTCATAGAAGCCCACCCTCCCTTCCCAGAGAGTCATTGTCCTCCAGAGAAAGGTCCATCCCAGGCCAGCGTGAATGTGCGTGTGCAGGCTGGACGCCTCCCTGTCATCAGCCGGGGCAGTGAACCTGCCCTTTCTCCTCTGTCCCTTCCTTGAGCTGAGCCTATATCTAGGGCCTTGGACTCTGCATTGCTGTCCTCCTTGTTGCCAGTGGTCACGATTCCTACTGTGCTGTTCTGTGTTGCCCCACCTCACCATGCCCGAGCCGGGGGACATGTCTGCTGGCGGGAATCTTGTTTCTACCTGAAAGGCTCCACACACAAGTCAGGAATGAGAACTGGGTGGTTGAGCCAGGCACCCACTGGGGTCTGAGGCACTGGGCTCTTGAGTGTGCCGCTGCGCAGCCACATCCGGCCTGAGGCGGAAGGAAGCCAGGGTTGCTTTTAACACTATTTTCACCTAATGTTTCTTTTCAATGATATATTAACAACAACAAAATGTCAAAATTCAGAATGGTTTCATCCTTCAAACAGTCCTTATAAAATGTCTTAATTTTTTTCACAGTTATGTCTAAGTGTGGTTAAGTTCTCTTTGTCAGCTCTTAGAAGGATATTGTCCATTTTCAAAGAAAAGCTTAAGTAGTGATTATCCAGAAATTAAATTGTTGCTTCTCAGAAAGGAGACCAGAGACTGCACAGGTTCATGTGGGCAGCAGGTGGCCCTTCCTGGCAGGGAGCAGATCTTGGCCACTGGCCAAGATGAGCCCGGAGCACAGCTCACAGCAGAGACCATGCCTTGTATTTCCTCTGAATCTAGGAGCCTTGGACAGTCCAGTCCACTAGGACCGCTTAAAAAAGAGGTTGGTCCCTGGCAGATAGACTTGGCTATTTAGACCAAAATCTCATTTCTAGAAGTCGCCATGGTCCTCTGCAACATGAATGGCGCACAGCATTAATGCTGGAGATCGGAGTCCTAGGGTGGGCCTCCTTTTCGTGTCTTTTTCCTTTGCCTGCTCCCACTGGGCAGGGCACCACACCCCAGAAGTGTTGTTGGCTCGATTCTGGGCAAGTGTGCACCAAAGCCATTGCCCAGTTCACCCTCTCGACCTCTCCTTGGTTTTCGTTTCTATGAACTGCAGTTGAGAGGTTCTGATGAACTTTGATTTTTCTAATGAATCGTCCCTGCAGGATGGGACACGATGTGAGCCTCTATCCACTTCTATGGAAGTGGTGGTTTGCCGCAAGATGGTAGCTTTCTGGGCTGGTGGTGGGCAGCCTGCTGCCAAGCACCCCTGCTGCTCTGAGGGTCTCGCCACTGCCTCCCTGCAGGCCTGGTGTACGACACACTGATGCTGAAGCACCAGTGCACCTGCGGGAACAGCAACAGCCACCCCGAGCACGCCGGCAGGATCCAGAGCATCTGGTCTCGGCTGCAGGAGACTGGCCTCCGAGGCAAATGCGAGGTAAGGCTGCCCGGAGCAGCAGGGAGGGTGGCCCACACAGCCTGCAGGAATCCGGTATGGAGTGTGGGACCCTGCGGGGAGGGGACCTGTGAGCATTTCCATGATGAGGACTGGCAGCTTGGGATATTCAGGCCTGCCTTCTGGAAGATGCTCAGGGCTGTTTTCCTAAAAGCCCAAGGCCTCCTAAAGGAAGGCTCACCTCTGTCCTGCACCCTGGTCCCTCTGTACCCGCTGGTCCCCTGCATCCCCTGGTCCACCTGCACTCAGTCCCCCTGCATCCCTCTATCCCCCTGCACCCCTCTTGTCTCTCTGCACCCCCTGGTCCCTCTGTACCCCTCTGTCCTGTACCCTCGTCACACGCTGCTCTACTCTCTCCCGGCACACTGTTGCTGAAGCCCCTTATTTTCCGTCTGGTCATTCCCCTGGAGGAACCATTCTGAGGCTATTCTCCCATCAGCTCCCAGGATGCATGCAGGCTGCCCTCCAGCAGGAGCTAGAGAAACAGGGAAACGAGCCCTGTTGCTTTTCCGTCAGTGTCCTCTCACTTAACATTCCTGAAGCTTCTCCCAGTATGTGGAAAGTGTCAGGTCTGAGGTACCCCTCAGAATCCAAGTTCCCACGAGGCTGTGAATGGTGTGGGAATTTGAGTCACAGTCTGGTCCTGTCTGGTCTGGTTGGAATTTGATTCACGGTCCTAGCGCCCCCCTCCTCTCTGAGTGGAGTGAGAGGGTTCCAGCTGGTCCTCGGTCTCCCCACTGCCTGGGATAGTGAAGGCCAGTCTCACTCTCAGATAAGGAGGGCCCCCACCTCCTGGCCCATCAGGGCCTGGGATTCCAGTCTCTGCCCACACATGGCTGCAGTGGTCCCCGGCCTGTGAGGACAGGAAGGCTCTGCTGAGTAACATGAAGGACGGTCTTTCATCCTGCTGATGGGGAAAATGTTTTCACGGAGCGACCCAACTCATGCTCTTTGCCCTGGAGTGCAGCCATCATGAAGGAGTGTAGCTCTCAGGGAGGCCTTGCAATTAGTGGGTGCATGAAGAGGGGCCCAGGCTCGGGGACACCTCACAGTCCTGTCTATGGAGTGGGGCCGGCAGCACCCAACTCCCAGGATACTCCAGGACAATGGCCCCGGTCCCCAAGTACCCATTAAGTGGGACACCTGCTGTGTCTCTCACACATTGGGAATCCCACAACACCAGGGATGGGACATGCTGCTCTGCAGAGTGATTCTGGGAAGCTAGGGCCCTGCAGTTGATGACAAACTGTCCATATCTGTGCATCACAGCCCAAGCCACCTGGGCCACAGCTGGGGCAGGCGTGTCACAGAAAGCCAGCACATCCAGAACCCTGCTGAGCCCCCCTCAAGTCCCTTCACTTCCCCACTCGAGTCCCCCCACTTCATTCGAGTCCCCCTTCCTTTCTCGAGTCCCCCTGTCCCCCACTCAAATTCCCTCACTTCCCCACACAAGTCCCCTCACTTTCCCACTCAAGTCCCCCCATTTCCCCACTTGAGCCCACCCCCCGCTTTCCCATTTGAGTCCCCCCTTGAGTCCCTCTTCCTCCTCCTCCTCCTCCAGAAGCTGGAATGTTTAGGAACTTTAGTTCCCCATCTTTTGCAGTTTTTGACGTGATTTTTGGAGGGAAATGGGGCACAAAGGTCCGGTCCAGAATCCTGTCCTCTAGTGCCCTGGGGAGGACCTTGACCACTAATGAGGAATGGAGCTTGGCACCTGTTCTGGGTTGCCAGAACTCACCACTAGGGGGCAGCATCGCCTCTGCAGACACAGCTGTAACCTGTTTCTCCTCCTGCAGACCACCCTGGCCCTGCTCCTCCTCCATAGGGCTCCTGGGGCATCTGAAATCCCCATGACCAGCTTCCTGTCCCTCCCTCCTTGTCCCCAAGAGGGTCAAGGAGGCCAGAGGTCTCTGCAGTAGTTTCTCAGCCAGGAAAGCCAATACGGCAAGGTGGGGTGAGACATGAGACGCAGAAGAATAAAGCTTCAACCCTCTTCCACCTCCTTTGGCACCATAGGGGGTGCCCACCTGTCCTCGCTGATGACTGCAGTGGGTCCCCAGACCTGCAGGACTCGGGTACCAAGGAGGGGAGGGGCCTGTGGTTCATGGGTCAGACCCGAGTCAGCACGATGGTCTAGAGGAGACTGGGTGGAAACATGTGGCCTCCACACAGCACTCATTCAGGGACCCGGGTGGGCTGTGCACCTTGAACTGCACCTCTTGGCTCAGGGTGATATGTGGTCACTCAGTCCAAGGGAGTACAGTGTCCCTGTCACCACCCCTTACACTTGGCTCCCAGCACAGTCCCCTGGATGGAAGAGTACATGGCCTGGCACTGGACACGTTTATAGGAGTTGACCCCTAATAGGAGAAGTTAGAGGGACTTCCCAGGATCCCAGTTGTCCTAGCCAAGGCCCCTCGCTCTAGGCAGATGACTATGGGGGTGTCCATTGGGTGGGCTCCCCTGCTCGAGCTGCTGCGTCGGATTCGGCATGGTGCTGAAAGATGAGTGAGTGGATCTTTCCTTGGAGCTTATTCTCCTCCACGCTGAGGCTGGGCCATCAATGAGGCAGCCACAGGCAGCTTGTAGCCAGCTCCCTCTGCTTTTACCTCCTGCTTCAGCACGGTCTCTAGAGGAGCTGCCCTATTCTGAGTAGTTCCAGATCACCCCAGAGGTTTCAGGAGCAGGAGAAGCTGCTGGCCTGGCTCTGTGCTCAGGTGTGTCACGCTGTCTGGCAGCCCAGGGTGTCCCCAGACCACCACCACCAGGGCCTCTCGCTGTGTTCTGACTCTCAGAAACCACTGTAGTGTAAAATGTCAACTTTAATCTCATCTCATAAACCAACCCCTCCTGCTACAAGATCAAGTAAATGTAACTCAACTAAAGAATAGTAATTTTTATGTTAATTTCTGGGGAAATCTGAAAACAGCACTGGAGTCTTGATTTGGGTAATTTCTAAACCAAAGAAAAATACAGATGGAGAGGCATGGATGGAGACCCAAGGCCGATCTCAGGTTTCTCTGGGCTCCCCAGAAGGTTGCTTCTTTCCGGCACTGGGTAGTGCTCGGGGACGCGGGCCCCAGCCTCCTCTCAGGGAGAACTCAGGAGGCAGCCCCACTGCCCCTGGCAAATCTCTCTTTTTAGTCCAGACCCTGACAGTGGGGAAGTAGAGTAGTAATTTGATGCCAGATAATTTGTGTGACAGTGAAGGTTAAAGCATTGAAGGCTGGAATTGTCTTTTTAAACATTTTTCAGTTACAATTAAAGTAAGCCCTCCCTGGAAATTTAAGGAACATTGTGTAGGGTGAGGTTTGCTTTGTATTTTGCAATAACCAAATAACTTTCTGCTCCTGCACGTGTACAATTCAGTTTCCTCTGGGTGATTGTTTTCCCTTGAACCTGAGCCCACTCGGGCAATATGAGTGACCTCTCCCTTGTGTCCCCACAGTGTATCCGAGGACGGAAGGCCACCCTGGAGGAGCTGCAGACTGTGCATTCGGAGGCACACACTCTACTCTACGGCACGAACCCCCTCAACAGGCAGAGACTGGACAGTAAGAAACGTCTAGGTATTCCGAGGCCTTCCTAACTTTACTGCCCGAGGCTGTTTCCAGCCCTGTGCTCACTCAAGGCGGCTCTGTGCCTGGTCACAGGAGGACATCCCGTCCTTGGCCCTTGAGGCTATGGCTGAGACAGTGAGTGTCACCCACCAGGCTCTGCCCGGGCCGCCAGGCAGGGAGAGGCCTTCTCTGTAGGGCCTGCATCCAGTTCTAAGGTGAGGTGCTGGAGGAGGAGTTTTTACCCTGTGTATCTAGTGGGGTTCCAAGTCTTGGTTGTGTCCATGTGTTGTGTACGGTGTGGGAACCACTGGTTTCACAGAATCTGAGACAGCAGAGGTTAGATGCTCGAGTTCCCAGCCTGCCACCTGCCCTCGCCTGCAAGGAGCCTGGTCTGAGCCCTGCCCAATGCTCTGCTGTCCTGAACCCTGTTCCCCATGATGCCTTGGGAGCCCTGGGAAAGCTGATGTCAGGGTGTGGACCAAAGATTCCCTCCACTGTCATGGCCTGGGAGCCGTCAGCCCACAGAGGCACTTTTGTTCTCTGCTTTGTTCTTGCTACTTAACTCAGTTTTTCAAAGCTCAGCTCTTGTGGTTTAAGATATGACATAGGAGGTAGAACCATAAGTAAAAGTGTGGGGACCATTGGCCAGGAGCAAGGGAGAGGTTCCTGGTCCCTGTGGAGGAGGGTGTGGATGTGGTCTCCGTCACAGGATGTTTATGACGTAGACTATACATGTACATCATGTACACCCTTCATGTGAATGATCCTGCTACTCACCCCAAAAAAGCAACTGTGTCTCTCAGCTCTGGGGGGTGTTTAGGGTGTACAGGGCCCTCATCCCGGAGTCGTGGAGAAGGACTTAGGCAGAGGGCAGGGAAGTCTGAGCCAAGGTAGGGGACAGAGGCTCCGGAGGGACACATGGCTTGTGGAGGGCTGGAAGCTAGAGCTGCGGTGCAGAGAAGGGCGGGGCATGTCCAGAAATGAGCCAGCATTGTAGGGCCAGAGGAAAGGACATCTAGCCTGGGGCCAGGAAGGGTTTGGAAGAAAGGAGCCTTAACAGATGAGGACAGTGGACAGTGGGGAGAGGGTAAGTGGCCTCAGCAGGAGGGACTGACCGAGGAGGCTACATGCAGAAGACAGCCACACAGCGTGACCAGCAGTGCCCAGTCCCCGGAGTCTCCAGGATCCTCCAGGAAATGTCACTGCTTCAGCACAGGTCTCGCTGCCTGGAGTGTCTCCTCCTTCTGGGAGAGGGGCCTATGGTCCTGCTGCCACAGCACAAACCAGTAACCCCAACTCCAGCCGCAGGGAGGTCTCTAGTCGCAGGGCAGCGTCAAGTGTGTGCAGTTTGCATCCATGATGCTATAAATCACTCTACTTTTTCTTTTCTGCTAAACTTTGTGTTTTAAAATCTGTTCATGTGGCTGTGAGGACACCTGATTGGTTTCCTTCTCACCACTTGGGATCTACTTTAATCTGAGGGTTGTCCTCACCAGGACACGCCACTGTCGTCAGTCTGAGTGTCCCAGACATAGTAATAGCTGGTGATTATCTCAGGTATTAACTTAACCCTAATTAGGTGTTTAAACACGGCTGGGTGGCTTCTCTTCCTCTTCTAATTAAATCCACAAATTCCTGAGTCCCGTGCAAGACCTGTGTAGCGGATGTGCAGGGACAGCTTGGCTGCTGCAGTGCACTGTGGACTCAAGGGGGCTGGTCGGTCACCCTCCTAGGTGTTCCTGGAAGTCAGGGGGTCGTCTTCTGACGGCGGTGACCTGGAAAGGGCTGGGGAGGCTTGCTCCTGTGTTCTGGGTCTGGGCAGGCCTTCCCAGATGGCCAACTTCATGCACCATCCAAGTGAACTTCAAACATTTGTCAGTGGGGAGGGGTCTGTCTTTATTCACATTCTAGAAAGATCCCTCTTGTCTGAATGGCTCATTGTATTCCAGCTCCTTTCCCTGTTTACAGCTGGGGGGCTGCTGGGGCCTTGGGACTTAACCCAGCATTAGGGCCATCGGTGAAGCTCTCTGTGGATCCAGGTCAGGTCTGTTCTTGGGACTTAACCCGACATTAGGGCGGCAGTGAGGCTCACCATGGAGCCAGGTCAGATCAGATGACTGAGGTTTGCTCAGACACAGCCTTCAGGAGCATGGGGCTGTGCCACGCAAGGTGCACAAGCTCTGGCTGGAAGCAAAGCCCACCGTGGGTGCCTCCCCTGCCTTAAGGAAGGTCCCGCAAGCCCAGGACCCACTGCCCACCAGGTGCCACCCAGCGTAGGGGGTACAGTTCTATCTTTGAAACTAGGTTGCCCTCAGTTGGGATATATGATGGTACCCACGCCTTTCAGGAACCCGCAGCATTTCCAGAGCCCACGCTGTTCCCTGTGACCTTGGCCCTCTGACCTTGGCTCTTCTCCTGCAGGCTCGCTGACGTCCATGTTTGTCAGGCTGCCCTGTGGCGGTGTCGGGGTAAGTATTTCTTTAATGTGTAAATAATGTCCTGTTTGTTCTCAGGGTCCCAGTGGTCACAGAAACCGCCTCCTCGCTCTCTGCCGAGTGGATAATGGCTGCCAGGTGTTTTCCATAAACGGGCTGGCAGCCGGGCTGCCCTGCCGCTCACACGTGTGGCTTCAAAGGCCCCGTGAGCCTGTGAGCATTTGATGGCTGGACTCGGGCACCTTCCTGGGGAGGGTCGTCTGGCACCATGGCTTGCCTTAGGAAATGGGATCGGGTGTGCGGGCTGGTCTCCTAGCTGCAGAGCAAGGTCTGCTCGTCCTGACTCAGGTGGTGAAAATCTTTGTCCCAGTGTCCAAACCCAAGCCCCAGTGAAGCTCGGACTGCAGAAGCCTGATGTTTAAGGGCCATTGAAGTTCCAAAAGCTGCCAGCTTGGTGTGTTCACTGCTTGTCCAACTCTGACATGCTTTTAAGCAGATCAGATCAGGTCAGGGAGATACTTCTGGGGCCCTGAGTTTTAATGTGGGCACTGAACTAGGTGGACTTTCTGGTATGGGTGTCAGCCTCCCTTGGTTCAGGGAAGGTGGGGTCTCCCCAGCCAAAGCCTCTTGAATAAAGAAGGGGCTCCTGGCCCCCACTCACTCGGATGAGGGAGGGTGGGGGCAGGAACAGAGCTGCAGTTTGAAAGTGAGACCGGGCCTCCTCGAGATCTGCTGGCCATGAGGTCCCAGCGACCCGGGAAATGGCTGAGTGGACAACAAAGCTGTCGGGCTGAAACTGCGCAGCGGCAGGGTGTGCGTGTAATTACAGATCTCAGGGTGAAGCCCAAGGTCTGGATTCTGTTATGGAAATGAAACAAAATTGTTTTCTTCCTGAGTCTTTACAAAAATCGCTGCTTTGAAAATTATCCCGTCAGAAAGCGAATCAGCGGCATTTATTCATCCACCACCAAGCCCTCCTAGAGTTGTTTTATTCTGAATTGTAAGTAGGCTGCAATCTCTTAATTCGGGGCAAATTTCTGGCCAGACTTGAAAAGGTTTGGATTCGCACAGCCCTGCAGCTAGCACGGGGCAAGGCAGGACTTATAATTTACAAATGAAAGCTGAGTGGGACCTTGAGCTGGGTGCCCCTCCCCAGTGTGAGTCCAGACCTGACCGCAGGCTGACCAGAGCCCAGCTCACACCCAGGCACAAGAGGCCCCCAAGCTCGGGGACAAAAGTCCCAGCACATGGACTGGTCGAGGGGAGCCTGTGGGATAATTAGGAGTGAACCGCAGGGTGTCTCTTTCCATTGTTTCCATAATTACCTGTGTTACTGGTGCAGCACAGTCCTCCTGGGCCTCAGCTTCTCCTTCCAGCACCAGGGTCCAGCTGACCTTAGGAGCCCAAGTGTGGGTGGGAACATCAGGAAGCAGTGAGAGAGGCTGCTCGCTTTAAGTTAGCATCTAGGTGTATAACTATTCTTCCTTAACTGTTACATAGAGGCTAAGGTGATTTACCTCTTCTCAACCCGGTAAAAGAAACTGCTTTGCTCACCTCCTGGTTATTATAGGTTTCCCTTAGTGAGGACTTGGTGAGTCCCCCCCTGGCAGGCCCTGGTGCTGAGTCCTGTGCCCGTGCTCTGCACTCCTAAAGGGCTGCCTCGTCTGTCCACCCCGGTCTCTGTGGAAAGTCTTCTGCATCCACTCTGTTCTTTGCGTGCAGTGGGTCCTGCCCTGAATTAACAGGCACATTGCTGCCTCGCTCTAAGCAGGGTCGCCTCCTGACGGGACCACTTGTCCAGGCTGCACACCCTCCCCAGGACCTCATGCTTCTGGAACTCAGGGCTGAGGGCTGACCATTCCAGGCTTATCCACAGTCTAGTGGCCAGCAGCTGGAGGGCCAGCCCTGAAGTAGTGAAAGGTCCTGGTATCCCACTGTGGGGCTGGGGGCTGTTGTTGGCTCTGGGTAGGATGGTACAGGACCCAGGGTGAGCGGGGGAGAGCAGGGACCTTCGAAGTACGTGCTGTGTGAGTTCACTCCCTCCCCATACTGTGTTACTTGGCCCTAAAGCCCAAATCTTCGCCTGTAGAGAGAAATAACCTGAGTGGTTTTGCCCAAACTGCCTTCGGTCCTCAGAGGAGCAGCCTTGGGGCTGGCCTGCCTATGAAAGTGTCATCCTCCTGAAGTCACAGGCAGCGGTTGGCCACCCCCACTGGCTGTCGGTCAAGGGCTGTCACCTTTGATTTTAGTGAGGTGTTTCTGCAGCCAGGACTGGGTGCAGATGGTTGTGTGAACGGACCGTCCGAGGACAGCAGAGCAGTGTGCCCTAGCACGGAAGCTGGGCTTTGGAAGTTGAATATCAAAGCTGGGAGAGTTGGGGAAGCGCATAGCATTCCTTTGACATTTGGAAACTATTTAGAGAACATAGAAGTTTGGTCATTGGGAAGAATAACCCTCGAGAAGTAGCACTCATCAGGCAGTGGCTCAAACCCCTCAGAAATGTACTTTATTTTAAATCATCTGGCTTTGAAGATACAGCTTCAAGGCTTCCTTGAAAGAAGTTCATCCACCCGCATGAATAGTCAGTGTCGTAATCAGGTGGGCAAGAGCTTGTGCATCAGGACACACCTGCCAGGAGGGGCAGGCACAGTTTTGGCAGCAACATCTCAGTAGTGTGCAGCTGCCTGGGCCTCCGTCTCAGGAGTCCCAAAGCATTCAGTGCTCGGAGGAGATGAATTTGGAGAGGAGGGTCCTCATATAGACTTGCAGACACTATATTAAAGATAAACAATCATGTTACTGCACAACTTCTCAGAATCTTCGCTGGGCTGTGTCCCAAAACAGGACATGCAGTGTGTGTGGCCAAGGCACATGTGGATGGGGCACAGCGCCCAGGGGCTTTGTGCTTAATCCTGTCCCCCTCTCCCCCTGTTCTACAAGGAGACATTCTTCACAAAACTGAGGCCTGTCTCTGTCTCCTTCTCTCCCAGCCTTAAAAAATCTATGTCTCAATAAATAAACCAGTACACACAAAGAAATTGCTGACATGTCTGCACACAGTGGCCGTGAACAGGCAGACATGCCATCACCTGGGCAGAGCGTGGTGCACAGTCCACCAGGATGTTCTGGGAGACCTTCACTCCCCTCACCCCCACTCCATGCCTCCATTCCTGTAGAACTTATCAAGTATTTGGTGCTTCTAATTAAATTCTGCACAAAATAAGGCCATAATTTGGAAAGACCTCTAATTCTTCTCACATATCATTTTGATAATTGTTAGTTTAACTCGACTGCAGTTGTAGTAAAAACAAACAGGAACTGACCAGGCAACCTTGACATCTGTACTCAGCTTTGAATGTGTCGGAGCAGCTGAGAATACAGTGACACTCCAGCAAGGGCAAACCCAGACACACTGGTGTTGGTGCAGTCACTGTTCTTTTCTTGCTTAGTATTTTTGGCATGCCTTTGAAAAGAGGTAAGGTATGTTCTGTAATTGGTGAGGAAGAGACAGGCTCTGGGACAAGAGCCCACGGCAAGGTCTCACTGTTGAGTGTTGTTTCCACAGGTGGACAGTGACACCATATGGAACGAGGTGCACTCATCGGGGGCAGCCCGCCTGGCTGTGGGCTGCGTGGTGGAGCTGGTCTTCAAGGTGGCCACAGGGGAGCTGAAGGTCAGTGAGCATGCGGTAGAGATGGGCTCCTAGCAGGAAACCTGCCTGGACATTTCCGGGAGAGGGGGAGAAAACAGCCACTGCGACTCCCCCTCTAGACAGGCACAATGAGGCGCAAAGGGGGGACCCTGTTCTGTCAACAGCTGTGAATCAAGAGGAACATTTCCTACATCTGTATAAACATATTACCTAGCTGTCCTCAGAGGTATGGGTCCTCAAGCACTTTATAGTCTTAGAAAGTATTGGAGCACCCCAAAAACTCTTGTGTGTGTAAGTTGTGTCATCAGCATGGACCATATTAGAGATGAAGCCGAGAAACTTTAAAAACATTTATAAATATCTGTATGGCTCAGTAGGTCAGCTGGGTTCTCATAGCTACTTCTGTGTGCTCTCTGGCGACATGCTATTTTGGTTGAAGTACATGAAGAAAGTCAGCCTCACACAGACACGGAATTGGGGAAAGGGGTAGTATATCAATAGCTTTTTGAGGTAATTGTGGATATTCTTTGATGCCGCACCAAAATTCAGCAAGTGGAAGTCTCTTTAATTTAGTTGCAATGTGGCACCTGAAACAGTCAGTGAGCTGTAATTCTTACATGAAAATCCATTGGCCTGTCTTGCACATTGAATAGATCCCGTGTCTACACGTGACCTGTGTAACACTGGTCATTTGGAAATATGGGCTCATTGGGTGATGCATGTCTTTCCAGCCTTGCCCGTCTCACTGCACAGTCAGCACTGTCTTCTGAGTGCCAGGAGGAGTGGTCAATCCAGGTTCCCGAACGTTGGCTCATTTTCACTGAACACTCAGATCTTAGCACGAAGGCTACCACTGAGTGCCACTTTCCCCGAGGACAGCTCACTTGGTTTATTTTTGAGGAAGTCCTATTCACTGCTTTTGAGGAAAACTGGTGCTCCTGCGGGGAGCAGCCAGGCTCAGGTCAGCGGCAGAACTGCTCACACAGCCTCACGCTTCTCTACATGGGACAGGCGTGTGTTCAGGGTCGAGAGTTGATGACATCGATAAGTTTACTGCTTCATTGAGAACATTTTGCCTTTTCCCCTGCAAATGTGTGGCGAAAATCGCACTGCATGTGGGTGCCTGAGTTCCTGCTATGACACTCTCAGTGGGCCCACCAGTGCATCCACACAGTGGCCAGCACAGTAGAAAATGTTAGGGTCATTATGACAGCTGCCCCGCGGGGCACGGGGTGCCCAGGGTCTGTGGTCTGCACTCTTAACACCACTGCACAGAGTCTGTGTGCAGGGAGATGGGTCTGTCTACTGAGTGTATAGACTGACCACACAGCTTCCTGTTGCTGGTGAGACCAAGAGATGCTCATGGAGACTATTTTTATAGTGTATACATTCTGTTCAGTGCACGCATCCTATACAATGTATACATACTGTGCAGTGTATACATTGTACACTGTATACAGCAGCTACAGAGTGTCTTTAAAGTAGATGGTTTTTTAAAGCCTACCTAACCTAGAGGTTCTAACAGAAGGCAGGGGTGTGCAGCTCCCAGCTTCTGAGATATTTCTTCCAGGTGCTGATGGGCTTGTTTTCCACGTGGCCCACTCCCCTGTATACTGAGCTGCAGTGATAATGACAGACCTTCACGTCAAGGCCAAACTGGGACATGACATCTGCCCCACAGCCGAGCCCCTTCTATTTCATCTACACCCAGGGACCCCGTCAGGTTGCTTCCTGGAGAGTCCTGCACTGAGGGTTCTCTCCAGCCCTCCCAGAATCGCACACTGAGCAGTGTCCACCCTGGCCAGCAGGCCAGCAAAGGTAGAAAGTCAGGGATGACTTCCCCTTAGTAACCGCAATCGCCTGTAGACTAGCCATCTCAACAATGCTGCAGTCAGCCCTTTATCCTGTTCCTATCTATGCCCTGGGTTCCGCATAAATCCACATCCTCGAGTGTCCTCTGAGTCTGCTAACCATTCAGTTTGTATGATTTTCTCACTGACGTGAAACCAATCTTTCCTCCCTGTTTGCCCCCACATGTCTGGTATTGTGTGTAGAATGGCTTTGCCGTGGTCCGCCCTCCAGGACATCACGCAGAGGAGAGCACGCCCATGTAAGTAGACACATGGGCCCTGAAGGTGGGGGAGGGGCTGGTGTCTGACTCCTTAAAGGACTGAAGTTGCCACCTGCCAAACCTCCTGTGATGTGGAATGTGCTTGCATGTCTTCCACACCAAGTGTCCCCGATCTAGCATGAGTGACTAACCGAGCAGCTCTGTAGTCAAAGGTCGACTTTGCTGATGGTTGTGATGAAAAGGTGAATCGGAGAATGGAAAGGAATGAAAGGAATCCACAGAATTAGTCTAGACAAGTCAGTTGTTAAGTGTACTGCAAAAAATTGGGAGAGAAAGCTTACATTGTATAGACGAGTCCATGTGGCCCGTCCTTGTTACTGAGCATTCAGGGTCAAACCCTCCACTTGTTTTCAGTATGACCTCTCAGGTAACTGCTTACAGTATGGTGATGATGAAGCTGAAGGCTCTGGGTTATGACCTCATGGCCCGCTCCCTGGACTTTGTTCGGGGTTCGGATTCCCCTGGCTGTGCGCCTCTGAGGCGGTGGCTGAGGTGGTGCATGTGATGTATGGATTGTCCAATCCATCATGTTCGTGGAGAGCCAGTGACTGGTGCACACTCACCTGGGGCAAGGTCACAAGGACTCACTCAGCCTCAGGTGTTGTGCAGAGTGCCTCTGCTGCTTGCAGGGTGAGGTGCCCTCTCACTGGGCTAGGAAACCACCCCAGTGAACACGGTGGCCTCCCCTGGCCAGGAGACAGCCCAGGTGAGTTAGGAGGAGGTGACGTTGGGGCTGTGCCTTGAAGAGTGAGTCGTGGCATGTCACCTGGCAGACAGCACTGTCAGGTGGAGCCAGGAAGGGCAGGGAGGGCAACGCCCTCGTAAAGCCGCTAGACCACAGTGGGAGCACAGACTAATCCGTGATACCCAGAGGACCTCCTGTCATTTCAAATCTGGAGTAAGGGAGTCAGAGCAGAGTTTCAGAAGGCATCATCTTTGTGTAGGAAGAAGGAGGTGGATGTGGGTTGGAGTATTTGCAGCCTCATCTGAGAAGTCGCTGGCTGCCCCATGGCCCAGAGCACTCACTCCAGGCCACCTGGGAGCAGGGCCTTGTCTCAGTGCTCAGAGTGACTTCTAGCTTGAATCTCAGTATTGGATATTCTGAGTAGTAAACCCAAATGACTGCAGTGGGTGACAGAGAGGTGTTTTCAGTGCAGTTTCTCCGCTGTGCACCGAGCTGTAGCCGCACGTCCTAGGGGGCGGCTCCCAGACTGCAGCCTGGATTCCAGTAGCAAAAAGCAGGCCGCCCGGTTCTGTGGGAATTCCACAAAAACAGATTTAGACTGAGAAGACTTTCATTTTTACCTGGATCACTTTCTTAGCTTTTCTTGCTCTCTTGAATAAGACTCTGGAATTACAGTCAGTCAGTGGGGTGCCTGTATACATCATTGTCGTATGTCTTAGAATGTGGAAAGATTGGCAGTGAGCAACTAAACTAGGTCACACGTCTGTGTCTGTGGCCCATGGTGTCTCTTGAGAGGCCAGTAAGAGCGAGATGTTGGTACAAAATGAAATGGATTTTCTTACAGGGAGCCTGGCCGTCTGCACACAGGAGACTGGTCTGTCAATCATAAGCATCAAGTAAGGTTCTCAAACTGCTTGATTAGAAACTGTACATTCACCAGACCCTCTTAAACTCTTGATGGTTCTGTTGCAAGTTACGTAAAAACTGATCTAGCTCTGGGCAGTGTGGCTCGGTTGGGCGTCATCTGTACACTGAATGGTGGCCCTTTTGATTCCTGGGCAGGGCACTTATCCAGGTTGTGGGTTCGCTCCCCAGTATGGGGTGTGCAGGAGGCAGCTCATGGATGTTTACCTCTCTCATCTATTGTTTCTCCCTCTCTCTTCCTCTCTCTCTAAAAAATCTCAAAAAAAAAAAAATACCAAACCTGATCCAATCCTATATTTTTTTCTCCGTTTCTCCTGATTCTCACCTGCAGGGGTTTCTGCTACTTCAACTCCGTGGCTGTTGCAGCCAGACTTCTCCAACAGAGGCTGAACGTGAGCAAGACGCTCATAGTGGACTGGGTAAGGGGCCTCCCTCACCAGGGCAGGGCTGGGGGAGCTGTGATTCTTGCAGGAAGACTGTCCTGTGTAGAGGGAGAAGGCAAGCGTTTCTGCCTCCTTAGACATCTAGATTTGTGGACCTTAGCTTCTGGAAACTATCTCAAAGATTCGGAAAATAAAAGCCCAGACCTGTTACGGATCTATTTCCAACTTCAATAGATGATCCTGCCGATAATTGGGTTCCCAAAATGCCTAGAAATGTGCCAGTGGTTGGGGGCAACCCTGGCAAAGCCTCGCTGAGAAGCAGGTTTAGGAGGAGATGGTGCCTCCGTCTGAGAGCACAGGCCGCACTCTCCCCTGGACCAGTGTGCAGCTTCCCTTGTGAGAAAGCGCCCTTCTTGCCTTGGCACCGGCACCGGAGACCCAGTTTGTGCTGCTTTACGTTCCTTCCCCATTCCCTGTAGGAAGTGCCACTTCTCACAACCCCAGTGCCCCAAAGGGCAAGCTCTAGTTAGAAACGCTGTGACCTCTGAACTCCACAATCAGGGTCATGGGTTCTGGTACTGGAGGTGGATGGTCAAGGTGTTAACTTAATTCTTTTTTTTTGTGGGGGGGGGGGCGGGGGAGTAAAGGGTATTCTCTTGGGTATTTATGATTAATTTTATAAAATTTTAAGGAAAGAAGTTAAGTACACCAGGTAGGAGTATGACTTATAATGCAAAGTCCTCTCACTTTGGATAAGAAAAACCAAACACAACCCAGGATACTGGGCAAGCTCCCAGATGTGGGTGCTGGTCACAGAGTTCCAGGGGCACTTAGGTGGCTGAGGCCGCGCGACTTATGTGGCCTCAGTGAAAACAGAGTCACTGGCTGCAGTGTGCCTGGCGCCTATGTCCCTGAGCCCTTAGTTGCTCCTAACAGAATAACTAGAAATGCTGGGGAGGCGACAGGTGCCATGTGATTTATAATAGCTCAGCCACGTGATCAGCGCAGGCGTGGCTGTAGCAGTTGGCGAAAGTTGGTGACCTGTGCGGAACCTTCAGGGAACCTCACTGAGGCATGTGCTGCCGTGTCCCACAGGGTACAGGTGGTGTGCACCTGCCGCCTGTCTGCACAGCATCAGTGGTTCCTGGTGGCTGGGACTGCGTGTTTGTTTCTCACAACTCCTTATGTACCGTGGTCCCGTGTTTTCTGTAATGAGCACAGATGACTTTTATAAAGAAGAGAAGGATACTAAGCAGTTCTCTGGTATTCCCAATCACTGACATGCAAGCAGCCCCTCATGTGCACACTGTGTGAAGCAGGCCCCTTCTCGGTGGCCTCATGGTCCTGGCCAAGGATGTGGGGCCTAGGGCCTGGTGGAAGCCTGGCCACCCATTGTGGTTAGGAGAAGTGGTTTGTCAATTTAGTTTGGGACCTGGGCCCACAGTGCCGGGTGCCTTGTGCACCTGCCACTCAGCCTGTGGGATAGGCCTGCCCCGCGTTCCCACTCTCCCCACCCCCACCCCCACCGCTTACCCCAGCGTCAGGCACAGAGCTGACCCTTCGCATGTGCTCGAACATCCGCAGCCATGGTCAGAGGAGGGAGGAAGTGGCTCACTTTTCACAAACACAGCCAAGCAAGAAATTAGTCAAGTGATCTGGAAAACTGGCCTCCAGGCAGGGTTGAAACACCAGCCTTTTGTTGCCAAAAGCCTGCAGTCTATTCTGGTGCTAAGAATTCGGGCACAGTCCCGGGACCCTTCCTTTTGGTCCCTGGGGCCCTCTGACCGAGTCCCAGGGGCAAAGGGCTGGCATCCCTGTGAAGTTAGTGGCCTGGCTGGGCTGCTGGGGGACTGAGCCTAGGAGATATCCTGGCATGGCCCAGACTGAGTCCGCTCTCCCTGTTCTCAGGATGTGCACCATGGAAATGGGACCCAGCAGGCCTTCTACAGCGACCCCAATGTCCTCTACATCTCACTGCACCGCTACGACGACGGCAACTTCTTCCCAGGCAGCGGGGCGCCTGACGAGGTACTCAGGGCCTCCTGTAGGTGTGCAGGACTTTGGGAGGAGGTCAAGGCAGGGCTACCCTGGAGACAGAGTGGACATCTGCACAGCAGAAGCAAGGGCTACCCACTCATGGAAACCCCAGAAGGTGACTTGAGGCAGACATTGGCCTGAATTCCATCCCGTGTGTGCACAGCAGCCTGACCTTTGTCTGATGTGTAAGTGAAGGCCTGGAGACCGTTTCCCATTCCAATCTAGGCCGACAGAGGTGTTCCTGAGCAGGGAGCAGGGTGCCCTTCTTCCTCCAGGAATGGCTGCTATGCAGGCCGTGCTCTTGTCCAGTCCCTCGGGCAGGCTGACTGTGCTCTGCTTTCACCTTTGGTGCCAGACAGTGGGCCCCAGGCTCAGAGCCTTCATGACACCCTCAGCCCCAGCCAAGCCTGTGGAGGCCCTAGCAGTGGGGAATCCCACCCTAGGAAACAGCTGCTCCACCTCCAGATCTTATTTCCCGGAAGGAAGTTGAAAGGGCAGCTCGTCTGCAGGCATTTCCTAGTGGCCCTCTGCTGGCCTGTGTCTGTCACTCAGCACAGAGCTGCAGTTCATCCAGGGCCCAGGGAAAGGGTGGCCCCCACTGCATCCACAGGTTAGGTGGGCGGGGCGAGAGCCCCAAATTCTGTGAAAGCATGCCACCATCGGAGTCAGCATGTCAGGGGTTGTAGGGACCAGTGACAGCTCATGAGGAGCACAGCCACAGCTCTGCTGTGGGACCACCAGGGCTGGTCTGTCGAGGGTCTGACACATGTTTCCTTCCCACAGGTGGGCACAGGGCCAGGCGTGGGCTTCAACGTCAACATGGCTTTCACTGGTGGCCTTGACCCCCCCATGGGAGATGCAGAGTACTTGGCAGCCTTCAGGTAACTGTCCTGGCTTCCTGTCCACGGGCATTTAGGGACCTCGAGGAACTCCACCCCCATGTCTCAGTTCCTGTTGACTTTGACCCTCGCCCTCCTTCATAAGCACCCAGATCCCTCTCAGGAGGACCCTCCAGCGTCCCCCGGGTACAACTTCCAGAGACAGACGTTTCTATCTTGCATGTGGAGGGGCGATGCTCTGAGGCCCTAGCGTGCAGTCTCAGTTCCTTGTTGAAGCTGAAGGTGGAATCTTTGAGGCTGTCTTCTGACCTTTGTCTGCAGAGCTCCAGGCTGTGCACTTTGGGTCCCAATGGTTCAGTGAAGGGGTCAGGAGGTGTATTAACGAAAAGTGGGTGTTCAAATCTGGAAGGCTGTGGTCTCCTGACTTAGCTTCCAGAAACCTCTTTGAGAAGACGGGAGACAGAAAAAGATCTTCCTCCTTTATTGATAAACTAGATGGCCTCCCCATTCATGCACTTGCTTGGTGTTATTCTGGGCCCTAGAATTGAGCCTCAGTGTTTGCTTTTGTCATCAAATGGTGATTTCTGGTTTGATCTGGGCCAGACTTAAGTAATTCCTATAGCACAGGTGGCCTCTGTTGACGTTAAAATGGCAGAATGGGCAGCTCAGGGTGGGGCAGGGCCCGCGAGAGGAGGAGAGTTTTATTCAATGGTGAAGTCTGACCATCTCAGAAAACCCAGGAGTTGGTGCCCCGGGGCATCCCCAGTGACTTTCCACCTCCTTCTCTGGAGGCTGAGATTCAGTAAGGACACATCTGGCAAAAGCTTTGCTGAGGGTTCTGCCTCACGTCCCAGTGAGACCTGTGTGGGTCACAGGACCCTTCACAGCATCTGCTCACTCACCTCAGAACAGGGTCCTAGTCCCCAGTATCAGCAGGCGTGTGGGGCCTGCAATGGAGAGGCCTTCGGTCAGCAGCTCCAACAACAGAATTGGTCTGTGAAAATAGGAGCCAGTTGCCTCTTGGAAGACCTACTCTGATTGGCACCGAATTACTTTTTCTCCTGGCCTCATTGGTCTAATTTTGATGTTTCTTCTTACTCTATCACAGGGGTGGGCAAACTTTTTGACTCGAGGGCCACAATGGGTTCTTAAACTGGACAGGAGGGCCGGAACAAAAGCATGGATGGAGTGTTTGTGTGAACTAATATAAATTCAAAGTAAACATCATTACATAAAAGGGTACGGTCTTTTTTTTTTTAGTTTTATTCATTTCAAACGGGCCGGATCCGGCCCGCGGGCCGTAGTTTGCCCACGGCTGCTCTATCAAATATCGTGGAATTTTGATAATTACCCTGCCTAATTTAAGAGAGAAGGAGGCCCCAAAACATCTGACAATTTTCTCATGTGCACAGTTAAATATCAGCTTCATGAAATCTGAACCCGTGTGGCTTCCCCACCTGGGCAGTCGCTGCATGTGCATGGAACAGCCACTCAGCATCACTGTCCCCTCCTGCCTGAGAACCGGCCCTCTCAGGGGGTTCCTTTTGAAATAGGTGTCCAGATGCCACCGTGAGGGGTGTAAACAGTGCCCAAGTGAATGTTGGTGCCACCCAGGGGACCAGGGCACAACACAGCCCACACCTGGTGTAGTGAGAGAAGGCAAAACTTTCTTTAAACTGAGGCTTGAAGTGGTAAAAAGTGGGTAGTCTCTCTTCTTTCAGACCATTTTTCGGGCCAGGTTTGACTGGATTGGCACTTGCAGCTTGTCAGTGCCCTGTGCACTCCGATCCTAGGCGGATGTGTTGGCACCTCCTCTGGCATTTCATTGGTGGTGGGCAGGGTGAGGGGCAGCTAGGCGGCCCTGAAAGTCGTCCCCCTCCCCAGGCCAGCATTTAAGATGAACCTTTCCCTCGGAGTTGCTGTCGACATTCTGTTTTAATCTCCTGCCAAGTGTGTACATGATGATACCTTATCAAATGAGCTTTTTAAAGCTTAAATAACTTCTTTGAAAAGGAAAATTGTGTCGGGTTTTTTTTTTTATTGATTTTAATGTAAAATAGCACTTTGAAGTTTACAATTTATGGTTCCCTGGGCATTGATCGTCGGAGGGGGAAGAGGGTCAGGATCCGTTTTCCCCTTTCTTCTGTGCTGCTCCCCTTGGGGCCCCACGGACAGTGCGTGCCTCAGACGGAGCACCGTGTTCCTCAGACCCTGCCTGCCACATTGCATTTCAGGAGATCAAGCCTGCGATGAAGAGGAGATAAGAAAACTGCCCCTAATGAAATCCAGGAGCAGCGGTGCTTTCTCCTGGGGCGGGAGGCTTGTAGGAGAAAAGGGGGCCTAATTCAAACCAGTGGGGTGAGGCTTTGAAGTTGGCTGAGGAGCTGAGGGCCTGGGCTGGAGGAGATAATGGTGCACTTTCCTTAACCCCTCGCTTACCTGCGGCTGGCAGTCCAGCAGGTCCACCTATCAGCAGTGAGGAAGTGAAATCGGGATTGTCCGTACTCTGATGTCATAATTTGGATTTCATTGTGACATAGTGTCTGAGAGGTGTCAGGGGACCTGCACATCCCAAAGTGGTAATTGCAGTGACCCAGCGATTGAACAGCCGGGCAGGTTCATGTCGCCTTCCCTGGCCTTTCGGGCATGGCGTCAGGTTGAGGCACTTCTGACTTTTGTTATGTCCTTAAGGTGTGTTTTGCTTCTTTCTAACTTTTCTGTTGTGTTGAAATGTCCATGACATTCTGTGTTCTCTCCATGTCTCTTCAACATGTCTCTAAATTTTACCCGAGGACATTCTGCGGTGATTTTAGAAGCAAAAGATGTAAGCTAGAAACTCAGAATTGGGCAGTCTCATGTTCAACTGCCCTGCCCTGGGCGGCGGGAATGGAACAGGTGATCCATGCAGTGCCTGCCCCCTCAGGTGACTTAGACGGGGACCACAGTGCTGCAGCAGGTGCATGTACCCGTGCCCACTCACAAGTCTTGCAGAAGTGAGCTGGCATGGGTGTCGGGGAACAGGGCTTTCCCACAGGAGCCAGTCCAGGCTGTGTGGCTGCTTCCAGGGAGCTGGACCGTGACTCTGACAGTGAGTGTCCAGGGCTCTGACCAGGTGACTAAGGCGGTGTGTTCTGCATGTTTGATGGCTATCTCATGGCAGTTTGGTGACAGAGTTGGTTCCAGGATGGGTGGACTGCACTAGATTCCGTGGACAAGCCCAGGGAAGGATGGCAACCCTGACCAGGATGGGGAACAGGGTGGGAAGGGCCACCTCAGAATGTTGGTGATCAGATAGAACTGAGGGGGGACGGGGGCTCAAGTGCTGGTGGACGAGGGTAGGGGTAGTGGACAGAGAATCAAGAGGAGCAGGTCTGGGCTGGGCGAAGGACGGCACAACAGGGTCAGTGGAGGACAGCGTAGTGGGGTCAATGGTGTTTTAGCAGATTTCCAGGAAACAGCTGGAAAGTGTCCCTCTATTTGGCAGTTGGTAGGGGGCCACTGGTGACTCAGGGAAGACAGTCGGAAGGGGTTAAGACAGAATGCACAGGAGTGAATGGGAGGTGGGAACAAGAGACAGCAAACACACTGCTCTTCTGAGGACCTGGGGGAGGGGACAGGAGCTGGGGGAAGACACAGGCTCGGAGGCAGGCTAGTGCCCAGTGGGGAAGCTGGAGCCCTGCCCAGAGTGAGGCAGAGGCCAAGGTCAGCTTCAAGCAGCAAAGGGCCCTGGCAGTGGAGGTGGCCTTGAGGACAATGTCAGTGAGGCTGTGGGACCCATGAGGGAGGGATGCTGCATGGGTCTGAGGCCTCCTGTGGTGGTGACAGGTGGGGTATGGAGAAGCCTACAGAGCAAGACATGGCAAGAGAGGCAGGGAGGGGAAGGGTGAGAATAGGTTAGAGTCAAGAGGCCCAGGGGCCCAGGGAAGGCGTCCCTCCACCCCCGCGGAGGCTACGGGAGGGAGGGAGGGGTGTGCCCACTTCACCAGGATGACCTCTGAGAGGTGAGGAGGCTGGGAGCAAATGGGCCCCCGGTTTCAGAGCATGAGGGAGGGGGACTGCAGGTGCAGGCAGCAGGCTCTGGAGGGGACTGGTCTTCTCAGTGTGGGGGGAGCTCAGACCAGTCTCAGGATCTAGCTGTGTCCTAGCTGTCTGTGCACCTTCTTTGGCCACCATGCCTGTGGGTAAACAGGAGCAGGGCAGGGCTATGGGCATCACCGCCAGTGGCAGCCAGGCCAGAGCAGATGGGTTCCCGTAATTTCTATGTTTGTTCTGATTCTAACTCTCAGTAGAGTTCAAATACTTGATGGACAGTTGCTCCAGCCACTGGCCCAGTGGCTCTGGTGCAAACATGGTTTTTGTGGCTTTCTCAAAAGATGGGACCCAAAGCACCAAAGTCACAGCATATAATAAATGGAATTTTCAGTCATCACAATGCTGATTGTTGAAATGGTGCCGTCAGTGTGGAAGGCAACCACCTCCTATAAGACGGGGGATGGAGGCGGGTGCGGTCTGTCAGTGTGGCAACTGCTGCTCCTGGTCTGGCCGCTCCAGCACACAGGAATGTCCCAGCTGCAGACACGTGTTACACATCTACAGGAACAGGAAGCACGTGCTATGGAAGGAAGGCTGAGGAGAGCAGGTAGCACTGGCAGCCCAAGCTTCCAGGCACCTCAAGAGAGGAGGCGTCCACAGGCCCATCTGTGTGGATGATGCTTCCAGGGCACCTGGAGGGACAGATCAGCCAGGGCACAGGAGTGGTGTCATGGCAGGATTGTTAACACAGCCCTGTGCCTGCTCAGGAGCATGTGCTTTGTGTAACAGACACCCCTTTGCATTCACAGAATCTGTGAACTTTAGTTACCACGTCCCCATAGACACAATGAAACATGTTAAAATCTGGAACTGGTGCCAGGCATTGAATAGCATCACCATGGTTGTAATGACGTGTGGGGCGGGGTTGGCAAAGTGGGGCGGGGTTGGCAAAGTGGGGCCCTCGTGCCAAATCCGCCATGTGTTTTAAGTCAAGTTTTACTGGGGCACCGTCATGCTAGTGCTCACGCATGGCCGTGTGGCCCGCAGACTGAAAGCTAGCCAAGCCCATCCAGATCCTGTGTTTTGTTCCTTGGGCCCTGATGGATGGTGCCCAAGGCGCACACCCTGAGGCTAGTGCAGAGGTGCTTCCCGGGGAAGTTTATGAACTGCGCTTGGCCTTGGAAAAGGGAATGCAGCGAACTGTTCAAAACCCAGCCTCGTCCGTCTGCTGTGACTCCAGTGTGAGGTTCCAGAAGCGAGTTTCTCAGCTGCCAATGCCTGTTTTCATGGCAGGCACTCAGCCCCACCTGGAGCAGATGAAAGTCACATGGCACAGCCCACGCTCTCCTCCAGGAAGCGCTGGCTCGGGGTCCTTCAGCACTGGGTGGTGCGTGTTCTCGGAGTAGGGCCGGGTGCTCTGCAGCATGGGTTCTGCAGAGACAGGTGGTGGGTTTTCATCACTCCTTCCACCAGAGACCAGGTGGCTTTTCAATGGGATCGCAATCCAGGGTAGTTCCAGAGTAGAGGAACATTTAATTTTGAGCATGTTTGTGCCCTTTGGCAAAGTTGGTACTTTATGGAGTTGACTTTGCTGACTTAAATGGCAATTTCATTCTGTAATAAAAGTCCTTGGCCATGGTGTCCCCAGGGCTCTGCCGTGGGGAAGGACCATGGGCCATGCCTGGTGCCTGTGACCTCCTCCCCCCGAGGGCCTCTGAAGCTCCAAGTGAAGGGAACCAGGACTCAGAGATGAGTCGCTGGGTGAGCTGCGGGAGCACCGAGCAGCCTTTGGTGCAGCAGAAACTGTTTGAGCTGCTCTAAGAAACAGACGGAGAAATTGTGAATGCTGGACTTCCCCCATGGGGCCGGGCAACGCGTCAGCAGAGGCTCCCAGCGCATTTAGATCGTCATGTCCACCTTCCTCTGCCCACTTCAGGGACATGGGCCCCAAGCACCTGAGATTCTGCCCACCTTGCCCACCTCATCTACAGAGGGAGGAAGGAGAGTCTGAGAAACAAGCTTAAATGGCAGATGCCACTGCTGAGTTCCAAATTTAATAGTTCTTCAATCAAAACACAAAGCACATGTTTAAGGGACACACTGACCTCATTACACTGCAGGCTCCCAGGTGGTAGTTTTGTGTTCAGTGTTTTTTCTGTATTCAAGTAAACCTTTTTCCTTCTTTCCCTCATATAACATAACCCCAAACCTCTCAGTGGTGTGTGTATTTTTCACTATCAATTCTCTTTAATGTGACCATCAGTTTTCCCTTTAAAAATCTCAAGTGTAGAATTCCTTTTTAACCAACCCGATGCAGCACCGTTGCAAGTGTGCGTATGGTCATTTGTTGCTAACATGGCCCTTGGGGTGAGTGGAAGGAGGTAGGAGGGCTTCCTCAGGGCCAGGGCTGCTGAAGGGCTCTCCCACCTCCTCAGCCACACGGCCCTGTGTCCCTGGTGCCAGGGGCATGGCTGTGCCCATCTTGAATCAGGGCCAGTGAGCAGAACCATCCGCACCTTTGGGGAGGACTCTTAGCAGCCCTGGTAGCTGGCTCCACTTCCCCATGTTGGTGCAGCTGGTGCTGGGCATTACAGACCACCTCCACGGTCTGCAGCGAAAGCCTCCTACAAAACCACCAGTGCGTAGCTCGACCTAAGCATTCGTACAGGACCTTGTTGGTTTGGACTTTTTAGATTGTGAAATCTATCAGCTGTCAGATCCCAGCTTCCATGGGAGCCCTCAGCCCACTAACCTTGAGGGGAACTGTGGCAGGCACATTCAGTGACCAAGCAGCCCTCCCTATCTGTGTCCCCGCTGCCTCAGTGTTGCCTTCTCCTACCCTTTGCAGAATGGTGGTCATGCCAATCGCAAACGAGTTTGCCCCGGATGTGGTGCTGGTGTCAGCAGGCTTCGACGCCGTGGAGGGCCACCCCACACCTCTGGGCGGCTACAACCTCTCTGCCAAATGTAAGTCGGGTTTTCAGGAGCTTAACGGGACCTGCTGTCTCTGTGGCCAGCTGTGCTGTGTCTCACATCTCCCCTTCAATGACCTTTCTAGAGATGTGACAGTGTGGGCAGCCCCAGAAAACCAATGGAGGCAGCAGGATGCTGTGGACCAGGAGGCCGCAGGCACTCCTCACTGAAGGTCATGCAACTCACAGTGCTGACCTGGGGGGCTCGTGCTCAGCTGGGAGCATACAGGCCACTCTAAGGGCCAGGTCTCCAGTTCGACTGAGAACTGGTGTGGTTGCCCACATTGAGGGCAGGAATAGACCCTAAAGACTGTGAGGGGGGTAGCTGAGAGCAGGTTCAGTTCAGATTTGGAGGGAGCAGGGAGCCCCAGATTATGGGCTCATCTAAGGATTTGCATTAGATCAGCGGTTCTCAACCTATGGGTCTCGACCCCTTTGGCGGTCGAACGACCCTTTCACAGGGGTCGCCTAAGACCATCCTGCATATCAGATATTTACATTACGATTCATAACAGTAGCAACATTACAGTTATGAAGTAGCAACGAAAATAATGTTATGGTTGGGTCACAACATGAGGAACTGTATTTAAAGGGCCAGAAGGTTGAGAACCACTGCATTAGATGAAGGCCCTGCTTTCGTTATGGGAGGGAGTCCTGTGAAAATTGCCTTCCCACAAGGGTGAGGCCTCTGCTTATGCCGTCACAGCAAGTCACATCAGAGACCTACTGGCGTGGAACCTTGGTCCACAGAAAGGCCCTGGGCACCCCCACACCTGCCTGGCCACCACCCTCCCCACCCCCACCCCCCCTCTGTGGTGGTCACAGAAATCTAGGTCCTGGGACTCTCCCAGGACACTCTGGGGGCCCCTTGTGCCGACCCCATGGGTGCAGATGGCCAAAGAGAGCCTGTCGTCTCTCCCCTCCCACAGGGAGAGTGTGGGTCACCAGAGAAGAAAGAGGTCAAACCAAGGGCTATGCTGGCATAGCCGTGCTCCAGTGCAGGACCCCTCAGATCCACCTGAACCCGGGCAGTGTGGTTTAGTGGCGAGGAAGTGACCAAGCAGCCTGGAGCCTGTGTCCCTGTTTCCATCAGAGACAAACCAGGGCTTTAGGAGGTTGCAGTGCCCACTGCTGCCAGCGTGGGGCCGGGTCTGCCGATGGCCACCTGGCACTGGGGTTGCTGACCAGTATGGCATGGTTTTCACAGGCTCTTTAATAAATGTCAGGCTGTTCTGGCCAAGGGTGGTAATTATCATTACCCATCAGGCGTTTCTGCCTGTGGGAGGGTGATGTGGGTGCAACGGAGGGAACATGGCTATTGATGAAAGCCAGACACGGATGTCAGAGTCTTAGAGGGGCACATGCAGCATTGATGTGTGTGCCGGAGTGTGTGTTCATGCGTGTGCCCAGCACACCCCCTAACCAGAACCCCTGGCCTCAGGGATGGACATGGCCATGCCTCCGAGGCTGCCCACAGCTGCCCTGCTCCAGGCGCCCTGTCTCCTGGCCTCTGGTCCCCATGTGAGAAAGCCTGGGGGCCCATCCCCATCCCCCAAGCGAGGTGATTTGCAGCATTATGAAATCAAAGCACTGAAACCGTAATTCCTGCTCTCACACAGATCAAACAGGATCCCAAACCGAATTCCTCGATGAATTTATTGCGATCGAACCTGGCTTCCATTATGAGCCACGGTGTGCCAGCCCCCTGGGTCTGTAATGTGATGTAATGCACTTCTGGACGCTTTGATCTGCTGCCAGCGTCGGCCCTGCACCCGCCCTGCCCTCTACTTGTATCTCCCTTTTCCCGTTGCAGGTTTCGGGTACCTGACGAAGCAGCTGATGGGCTTGGCTGGCGGCCGGATAGTTCTGGCCCTGGAGGGGGGCCACGACCTCACGGCCATTTGTGACGCCTCGGAAGCATGTGTTTCTGCTTTGCTGGGAAATGAGGTAGGAGGACCGGAGACCCATGGCTGCTGCATGCAGGCTTCAGACCCAGACTCAGACCCAGACCCAGTATATGGGCCACTTCACTTGCTTCCAACTCAGTTTTTGATGTCCCCCCCACCCCCACTCAGGCAACACATCTGACAAAACTGCTTGATTATGGCCACAAGGAGGTGAGCAAAAGGATCATCAAGAACCCTTCCTCTTAAAAAGATGGTTCAGGGTCCTGTGTTTTGAAGGGGCTCACCTTCATGTGTGAGTCACCTGGAGAGGACTGTCAGTTTCCTCCTTCAGAGGTTCTAAGGCAGGTTCCAGGAGTGGCGTCTCTGAGAGTCTCGGGCCCTGAGTGAGAGGCCTCTGCCTCCCGGGCTCACAGACACCAGGTCAGGCTCTGCACAGTGTCCCCACTAAGGCCCAGGACACAGTCAGGGAGACGCAGTAGCTGGACCAAAGGGGCTCAAGGATCTGGACCAGGGGAGGCAACTTTCGAGGTTGGAGGAGAGCCACGGGGAGAGCTGCACTCCAGGCCAACGTGGGCCAGGGAAGGGCAGGGTGGTGGGAGGGATGCCTCCAGGGATGTCCAGCCCGCTGAGTGGCCACACTTCCTGAAACCTTAAATTCACCCACAGACCTTTGGATATGGGGCCACACCTCTGTCCCCTGAGCCCATCAGAGGTTCATGGAGCGGGTTCAGGATCCCCCTAGTGTAGTTTCTCTTGTTGCTTTGAACGTCACACATGGGTCCTAGAGATGAGCTGGCTGGTGTTTGGGGAGCTCCGGTGAGTGCCCTAGATTAGAGGCCCAACCACACAGAGAGGTGCCAGGGCCCCTGCTCTCATGCCGTCCCGTCCCCTGGGACTCATCTCCCTCACCCATCAGACACGGTGACTGAGCACACTCCTCAGTCGGGTCAGGGCTACCAGGTGTTCAGTCAGGGGCCGTTATCTCTGCAGCTGCCCTCCTGCTGGTCAACACCAAGAGCGCAAGGCTCCTGTTAAGGCCCATCTTGGGTGCGGCACCCTCATAAGTTCATTGCTCAGTGGGGCTCTGTCCCCAGCTTCTGGCCTGTGGGGCTGAGTGCCTGAGAGGCCTCCCCCTGGAGGCAGTCACTGGGAGCCCACCCTGGCCGGTCCTGAGGCTACCCTCTTAGACCCACCCACCCCACTCCCCCCGAAACACAGCTGACAGGGCCCGTAAGGCATGTGGGGAGATGCAGAGTGGGGCTCCGAGCAGGTGCTCCAAGCTCCATGTTGAACTTCACTGCATCCGCCACACTGGGGAGATAGCCAGTTGCAGAGAGGTCTCCTGTGATGTGAGGTAGCACCCTTTCCTGGAGCTGTTCCCAGTCCGCGTTATTCCCTGTGACTTGCATGAACTGACAGAAGGTAGGCTGCGGGCAGGAGGAGGAGGGGTATGGCCAGTGTCCTGCCAGGCTCAGGAGGGACAGAGATGACAGGTGGCATGTGGAAGCAAAGGTGAGGTATCACCCAGGTTCGGGCCCCAGCCCAGCTGAGTGACAATGACCTGATGTGGGGTTGGGTCCACGGGAAGCTGTGTGTGTCCTCCCTGTGAGATGGCCTGCAGAGGAGAGCCAGGCCAGGTGCCTTGGGGAGTGGGCACCTGGGAGGAAGGCCATAGCTCTGTCTGCCCCTCTCAAGGGCCAGTCCTAAGGAGGGTGGCCTGAGTGAGCACCATCCTTGGGGTGGGGGGATCCTGAACCCATTCTGTAACCCTCTGCTGGGCTCAGGGAACAGAGGTGTGGCCCCATATCCAGCATGCTTCCTGGGGCTGCAGTTGTGGAGGAGGTGCTCAGGCTGGAGGAGACAGTAGTGTGGTCCCAGCTCCGTGCAGGTCCTATGGCGCTCCAGCCAGCCCCCACTCCCCGGCCCCCTTGCTTGTTGTGGATGGTGTTCATTTTAAGCCAGGTCACAAGCAGATCAAAGGTCCTGGTGGCATCCATGTCTGGTCAGCGGGTTAGCGATATGCTTGAACATTCCCGAATAAAATGCCAGTGTGCTTTTTAAAGTGCTCATAGAATTTCACCTAGCCTTTCTTCACATAAAACAATCTTCTCCCTTTCTAGCTAAAGTTAAAAGGCAACTGACTTATGTATTTAAACCATCCCAAACCTTTTTGATTCTTCAAGTTATTTTAAAATAACAATAGAGAACTGAGCTTTCAACTAGGGCCTGTCCCTTCTTCCTGCTTCACTCTTCTGACAAGAAAATGTTCCTTTACTTACACACATCAAAAAGCAGGAAACACTGGTTTATCAAGGTCTCTTAAAAATATTTTTAATGCAAGAAAGTTGGACGGAGCCCCACTTCTCTGCCCTGCGGCCTTTGAAGTGGATTGATGTACGGCGTGTTGGACGACTTGGTGCACACAACGGGCAGCCAGCTGTGGCCAACATAGCCACCTGGTGGGGAGAGAGGCAGGGGAGAGGCAAGAGCACAGCCTACGATAGGAGACCAGCGCTGTGCCGAGGCCCACATTGCTCCCAAGAGCCATTTTATTGAACAGTTTGGGCTTTATTTGCAACTATTGGTGACAACTGACTGTGAAAACTCAAACGTTTTGCAGGAGCAGTGTAAACGGAGGTATAGGGAGTCCAGCAGGTGGAGGGCTGAAATGAGCAGTGAGGGACCATCATTTCTCATGTCACCCCAAAGGCAGCGTTTGGTTTGGGCCAATTTTCTGGTTAATCATGTGGCATATCAGGGATCAATGCCATCATTTCATTCAACCCAACTCCGAGATCAGTGAAGGAGTTCACAGAGGATGAGGTGGAGCCGCAGTGTTGGGAGAAAAGGCTTTCACTGGAAATTTAGCAACTGTGTTATGTTGTTACACTTTGGGAAAGGTGTGGCTGTGACAAAACACAGTGATTAAAAACAGCTGTGTGAGAGACAGAGACAGACACTGAGTCCACTCAGTCTGGGAGCTGGTTATCTGCTTTTAGTCGGCCATCTCCCCCTCACTCACACACGCTCATACACTCACACTCACAGGCATATTTGCACATGCTCACACAATCATGCATACACACACTTGCAAGTCATGTTTATATACATGCTCATCATGTTTACACACTTGCAGTCATGTTTACACATCACAGTCATGCTTACAAATGCACACGCTTGCACAGTCATGCTTGCACTCACACTCAGCCATACTTATACTCACAATCATGTTTACACATGCTCACAGTCATGCTTACACATGCTCACACTCCTGGCCAGGGTCACCTCCTGCCAGCAGTGGCCGTAGTTTCAGCTGTGTGCAGGCCCATGTCGGGGGCACAGGCCCCAGTGCATGTGTGTTTGCTTTAGGGCAGTGCATGCCTCCTGTCTGTCCAGTCTCCTGAGTCCTTGCTAGCAACACTCGGAAGGTGGGCCCTCGCCCGTCCTTCAAAGGTGAAGGAGCTGTGCCCACACACAGACCATCCTCCTCACCCTGGTCATTGTCACAGCAGGATGTAGGGAAACAGTGACAGTTGGCGCCCCCCCCCCCCCCCCCGGGCCTCCTTTGTAAAATGGGTAAGAAAGTCATCCTAGTTGCCAGCCACCTAGCTCAGCAAAAGGGTAGCTCACAGTCAAGAGTAGGATGCCATCTTGGGCCCTGTCCTTGCTTGCTCAGCAGGTTCAGTATGCCCAGCACTGACTGCCAAGCTCCCACTGTGGGTCCCTGGCAGCAAGAAACTCCTGTGTTCACAGCACTCAGCTTTGGTGACTGATTTTTTTTTTTCCAGAGAGAAATGGAGAAGGAAAGAGAGAACCATTAGTGATGAGAATCATTGATCAGCTGCCTCCTTCACGCCCTCCACTGGGGATCGAGCCCGTAACCCAGGCATGTGCCTTGACTAGGAATCCAACCTCCTATAGGTCGATGCTCAACCACTGAGCCACGCCAGCCGGGCTGATTTTATTTTCATACCTCATTCTCTTCCTAGAGGATTTGGCAACTATAAAAATATGAGACAGGAGAGCCAGAAAGCCAGACTGGAGCATGAGGGGGAGATGAGTTGCGCTGGCCCTAGGTCAGTCTAAGGACACAGCACTGTTCTCGCCACACCTTTTCCCCTACTCAGGGAGGGAGTGATGGGGGCTTTCTGAGCATTTGGTTACTGAAGAAGAGCCGCCACATGGCACACCAGCGTCTCCAGCATGTTAGGGTGGCATGTCACCCACTGGCCTAGTTTCCAGGCACAGCAGCTGAGGCCTCCAAGCCTGAGCTGATTGGGAGTGTGGGCTTCGTGTTCTCTGAAACACATGCCCCAAATCTCCCAGAGAGAAAGAATGGGGAAGGGGTGCACTCACCCCGGAAGGCATCATCCTGCCACTCTGCAGGTGACAGGACCTCCTAGGAAGAGCGGGCCGGGGCCTCTCCCACAGGTCTCCCAAAAACTAGCCTCTCCCAGCCAATGTCGCTCATGGTTGGGCATCGACCCATGCACCAAGAGGTCTTTGGTTTGATAACCTGTCAGGCATGTGCTCAGGTTGTGGGCTCAATCCCCAACAGGTGTACAGGAGGCAGCCAATCCGTGTTTCTCTCTTTCCTCTCTCTCTAAAAAACAAAAAACATTTTTAAAAAAGAAAAAGATCCCAGCCAGTGTTGCTCAGTGGTTGAACGTCAACCCATGAACCAGGTCACAGTTTGATTTCCCAGTCAAGGGCACATGCCCGGGCTGTGGACTTGATTCCCAGTGGGGGGGTGCAGGGGACAGCCAATCGGTGATTCTCTCTCATCACTGATGTTTCTATTTCTCCCTCTCCCTCTCTGAAATCAATAAACATTTTAAAAAAAGAAAAACTAGCCTCTTTCTGGTGTCATCCTGGCACATGCACTCTCTGTGCCCTCCCCAGCCAGGCAGGGTTTTTTTCACATGAGGGCCTGAGGCAGCAGGTGGGGAGGGCTGGGCAGCCTGCCCAGCTGGCCCCCATTTAGGGAGAAGGGTGCTGTCACCACAGATGTACTTCCTTACTCTGCTGTTTACCAAGTCTCAAGCCTTTAACCTTTTTTAAGAAGGAATTTGGGTTATTAGTTCTCTTATGATTTATTTTTGCTTTTTAAAAATTGTTGAAAACCAACATGAGAACAGGTTACCAACTTGTTACCAGCTTTCCTGGGCCACCTGGTGCTGACTCGGTGGAGGATTCACCGCCCACTCAAG